GCCCAATACTGTAGAAGAGTATATTGAGAAATGGTGCAGCCGGTGCAATTTTCCTTTCTACTGTTTGAATCAAACTAAATGAAAGTCTTTCCCCTTCCTAACCTTGCATGAATTATCCGAACACTGAAGCATTTTCATGACAGTTTTCACACTTTTAGGGGTTCTTGCTCTAATTGAAGGCAGCAAAAATAAAAACATTTACTTATAATACGAAATCTGTACCAGTTATAGTTACAATATGCACAGAGATCAGTCCAAATTTTTCCTCCTTAGAAACAACAGAAAGCACCTCACTGAAAAGGGTGCCTTTCTCCACAGCCACCTGCGAAAAGGAAGCATGCCATCAGCCTCCTTCTCCTGCAATTCAAACAACCTCTGCCTTGACCCTCAGAAACCAGATACACAGGAGCAGACCTTCCACAGGAACTGAAAGCTTTACACTAGAGACACAGCACTAAGCTGTTCATTGCCTAAGTTATCTGCTTCAAACATTTGCAGTCACATTCCAGAGATGTTTTCCTTGCCCTGGAATGGCTGTAAATGTGCTTTCCTGTAGAATTCCTTCCACAAAAGTGGGATGAAATGTGCTTGATAACACAAGCAGTCCTTAGTTTCTGACCCAGCCACTCTTCTGTCTCATTCCTACAAATCTCTTTGCAGATTTGAGTGGAATTAATGGCATATCTGTATTGGCTGGAGAGTCAAAACTTGACTTCTTTCACTATTTCCTTCCCTCATTTCGTCATCCCTTAAATTCTTCCCCTCTCTTTCCCTTTTCCTTTCCTCCCTTCTCCTTTCTTTCCTTGCTTCCTTCATCTCTCCCTTTTTTCCTCCCTCTTTCCTTTCCTTCCTTCTTTCACTATTTCCTTCCCTCATTTCTTCATCCCTTAAATCCTTCCTCTGTCTTTCCCTTTTCCCTTGCTTCCTTCATCTCTCTCTTTTTTCCTCCCTCTTTCCTTCTCTTCCTTCTTTACCCATTTTTATTGTCTTTCGCCTCCTCTTCTAATGCGTCTTTCCTTTTTCCACCTTCTTCTCTTCCTCTTCTCCTTCTCCTCCTTCTTCTCCAGGCCACTGGTGGCCAAGAGGAACCCCAAGATACCCATGTCGAAGATGATGACTGTCCTGGGCGCCAAGTGGAGGGAGTTCAGCGCCAACAACCCTTTCAAAGGAAGCTCCGCTGCAGCGGCGGCGGCGGCTATAGCTGCGGCCGTGGAAACTGTGGCCGTGGCGCCCAACCCCCCCTCCCACCCAGCCCCACCCTTGCTGACCCCACCCCTCCCAGCCATCCGGAAAGCCAAGACCAAGGAAGGCAAAGGTAACGGAAAACGTTCCGGTTTTTAGTCTGAACTTTAGCTCTGCGGAATGAGGAATCCCACTCATCCCTGCCTCCTCTTCCCATAGGTCCTGGTGTCAAGAAGAAGGTCAAGAGCGCCAAGGATAACAAGAAGAAGGGGAAGGCCAAGAAGCCGGCGTCTCTCAAGTTCCGCTTTGGAGGGATCGCCAGCAAGAGGAAAAAGGGCTCTTCGGTGAGAATAGCATAGCATGGCATGGATGATCTCAGCGCTGCCACCCAAAGTGTGGGTTCTTCCATTTGTTGTACTCCAGAGCAGGGTCATGTCCTTAAACACCACAGTTTGGTAAAATCAGCAAGAAATTTATAGAAGGAGATATATAAGCAAAGGAGTAAAAATGGTAAAAACACTAAAGTCCAAAGATAAAAGATAGTCCATGAGCTTCAAGGCACTAAGGTGAACCACAAGACCCAAGGGTACAAAATCCATAGAACAAGGCAGCATAGAAATCCAGTGTACAGATCAGGAGCATGGCAAAACTTGGTGCGTGAAACTAGGAACACTTGGAAACAAGTCCGTCATGAAATTCCAACATTGACAAGACTGGGCTAATTCTTTACCTCGTTTCAATATAAAGCTTTTCTTGACCCCAGAATCGAAAGGAAAACATTTCTCTTGCATTTCTCTTTTCCTGCAGATGACTTGACCTCTGTTGCGACTGAGAAATTTGTCTCTGTTTGTAAAAGTCTTGCTTTCTATCTTCACTCTTATTACCGTATATACTCGAGTATAAGCCGACCCGAATATAAGCCGAGGCACCCAATTTTACCACAAAAACTGGGAAATTAGAATCATAGAATCATAGAATCAAAGAGTTGGAAGAGACCTCCTGGGCCATCCAGTCCAACCCCATTCTGCCAAGAAGCAGGAATTTTGCATTCAAATCACCCCCGATGGCCATCCAGCCTCTGTTTAAAAGTTCCAAAGAAGGAGCCTCCACCACACTCCGGGGCAGAGAGTTCCACTGCTGAACGGCTCTCACAGTCAGGAAGTTCTTCCTCATGTTCAGATGGAATCTCCTCTCTTGTAGTTTGAAGCCATTGTTCCATGGCCTAGTCTCCAAGGAAGCAGAAAAAAAGCTTGCTCCCTCCTCCCTGTGGCTTCCTCTCACATATTTATACATGGCTATCCTATCTCCTCTCAGCCTTCTCTTCTTCAGGCTAAACATGCCCAGCTCCTTAAGCCGCTCCTCACAGGGCTTGTTCTCCAGGCCCCTGATCATTTTAGTCGCCCTCCTCTGGACACATTCCAGCTTGTCAATATCTCTCTTGAATTGTGGTGCCCAGAATTGGACACAATATTCCAGGTGTGGTCTAACCAAGGAAGAAATGGCTGAGCATGACTTCCCTGGGATCTAGACACTATAGAGGCCCAAATCCCACTGGCTTTTTTTGCTGCCATATCACATTGTCGGCTCATGTTTAACTTGTTGTCCACGAGGACTCCAAGATCTTTTTCACACGTACTGCTCTCGAGCCAGGCGTCACCCATTCTGTATCTTTGCATTTCATTTTTTCTGCCAAAGTGGAGTGTCTTGCATTTGTCACTGTTGAACTTCATTTTGTTAGTTTTGGCCCATCTCTCTAATCTGTCAAGATCGTTTTGAATTCTGCTCCTGTCCTCTGGAGTATTGGCTCTCCCTCCCAATTTGGTGTCGTCTGCAAACTTGATGATCCTGCCTTCTAGCCCTTCATCCAAGTCATTAATAAAGATGTTGAACAGGACCGGGCCCAGGACAGAACCCTGCGGCACTCCACTTGTCACTTCTTTCCAAGATGAAGAGGAAGCATTGGTGAGCACTCTCTGTGTTCGTCCACTTAACCAATTACAGATCCACCTCACCTTACCTTGTTTCAATATAAAGCTTTTCTTGACCCCAGAATCGAAAGGAAAGCATTTCTCTTTTCCTGCAGATGACTTGACCTTTGTTGCGACTGAGAAATTTGTCTCTGTTTATAAAAGTCTTGCTTTCTATCTTCACTCTTATTACTAGGCTTGGGTAACCACGGAAAAATTTGGTTCTAAACTTGTTTTGTTTTTAGGGGGCCCTTGCATTCCGTTTTTTTTAATAATTCCGAAATTTACCTCTAAAAAATTTCAAAATTTACAAAATTTCATAAAATTACGAATCGATTCGTTAATGGCGGACGCGATTGCGCAATATGTTAAAAAAACCTCCAAATGGGACAGGGGGAACTTCTGAAGCTTCCCTCTCCCTCTGTTGTTGACTGTTGGTGTGATAAAACAAACAACAACTATAAAACTTGCACCAGACATGCGAAAATAATTACGAAATAATTACAAAATAATTACGAAATAATTACGAAATAATTACAAAATAATTACGAAATAAATTGAAAAAATTGTTTCGGATCTAATTTACTCCTCACACTATTCCTGCATGGCTCAATATTGGATCGTAAGCTAATTTAAATACGAATTAATAATGAATTACGAAATTAACAAATGAAACCGCCCAAGCCTAATATAAAGCTTTTCTTGACCCCAGAATCGAAAGGAAAGCATTTCTCTTTTCCTGCAGATGACTTGACCTTTGTTGCGACTGAGAAATTTGTCTCTGTTTATAAAAGTCTTGCTTTCTATCTTCACTCTTATTACCATATATACTCGAGTATAAGCCGACCCGAATATAAGCCGAGGCACCCAATTTTACCACAAAAACTGGGAAAATGCATTAACTTGTGAAACTAGGAACACTTGGAAACAAGTCAGTCATGAAATTCCAACATTGACGAGACTGGGCTAATTCTTTACCTCGTTTCAATATAAAGCTTTTCTTGACCCCTGAATCGAAAGGAAAACATTTCTCTTGCATTTCTCTTTTCCTGCAGATGACTTGACCTTTGTTGCGACTGAGAAATTTGTCTCTGTTTATAAAAGTCTTGCTTTCTATCTTCACTCTTATTACCGTATATACTCGAGTATAAGCCGGCCCGAATATAAGCCGAGGCACCCAATTTTACCACAAAAACTGGTAAAATGCATTGACTCGAGTATAAGCCGAGGGTGGGAAAGTGACATATCAGTTCCCATTGGTTTTCTCTCAGTGCCTAAAAAATAGTGTTGGAAGGAACCTCTAAAGACCATCTAGTCCAACCCCCTACTGCCTTCGTGGAGGGAAAGCACAATCAACTCACCCCAACAGATGATATTATTATTAATATCAACAACATTAATATTAATAATAGTAATAATAGTGCTGGAAGGGGCATCTAAAGACTACCTAGTCCAATCCGCTTCTATCTTCATGTGGGAAAGCACAATCAACTCACCCCCAGCAGATAATAACAATATTATTAAGGTTAATAATATTAATATTAAGAATAGTAAGAATAGTGCTGGAAGGGGCCTCTAAAGACCACCTAGTCCAACCCCCTTCTATCTTTATGGTGGGAAAGCACAATAAACTCACCCTTAACAGGTGAGTAGAAGGATGCAGGCATGGGCACACAATTGAACAAGAAACAACACTTTCAAACCAGGAGCAAATATTTTTCAATCTTTTTTCATCATGTAATAGTCGCACCCCCTTTATTTGATTTAAAAAAAGAAATATAACATTTTTTGTTGCATAGTGTAATGCAGACATGGGCACACAATCGAACAGGAAATAACACTTTCAAACCAGGAGCAGAAACATTTTTCAATCTTTTTTTCATCATGTAATAGTCGCACCCCCTTATTTGATTTTTAAAAAGAGATATAACCTTTTTGTTACATAGTGTAATACATAGTGTAATCATATCGTAATACGATTCATCTTAATAATAATAATAATAATAATAATAATAATAATAATAATAATAGTGATAGAAGGGACCTAGATCAAATAAATTCTGCATCTGACAAATCATCCCAAGTTGTTTCTCAAGGCTGTTGAGGGCCTCTCCCAGGAATGTGACCTTATGAATCTGCAGGAGAAACACTCCATTCATGAGACACCTTAGGCCTCTCACCATAAAAACCTTCATCCCCATTAACATCATGAACATAAAACACTATCGCAGGCTGAACTACAACACCATTACACCAGGCATGGACAAGTTTCAACCTTCCGGGTGTTTTGGGCTTCAATTACATCATCATGTAATAGTCGCACCCCCTTTATTATGGAGCCCCCGGTGGCGCAGTGGGTTAAAGCTCTGTGCCGGGAGGACTGAAGACCGACAGGTCACAGGTTCGAATCCGGGGAGAGGCGGATGAGCTCCCTCTATCAGCTCCAGCTCCTCATGCGGGGACATGAGAGAAGCCTCCCACAAGGATGACAAAAACATCAAATCATCGGGCGTCCCCTGGGCAACATCATTGCAGACAACCAATTCTCTCACAACAGGAGCGACTTTCTCAGGTCGCTCCTGACATGACCAAAAAAACCCCCTTTCTTTGATTTTAAAAAGAAATATAACCTTCTTGTTGCATAGTGTAATGCAGGCATGGGCACAGAATTTAACAAGAAATAACACTTTCAAACTAGGAGCAAATATTTTTCAATCTTTTTTTTCATCATGTAATAGTCGCACCCCCTTTATTGGAGTTGAAGTCCAAAACACCTGGAGGGCTGAAGTTTGCCCATGCCTGCATTACACTATGTAACAAAAAGGTTATATCTCTTTTTAAAAATCAAATAAGGGGGTGCGACTATTACATGATGAAAAAAAGATTGAAAAATGTTTCTGCTCCTGGTTTGAAAGTGTTATTTCTTGTTAAATTGTGTGCCCATGCTTGCATTACAGTATGCAACAAAAATGTTATATTTCTTTTTTTTAATCAAATAAAGGAGCTGCGACTATTACATGATGAAAAAAATGGGAAAATATTTTCTCCTGGTTTGAAAGTGTTATTTCTTATTAAATTGTGTGCCCATGCTTGCATTACATTATGCAACAAAAATGTTATATTTCTTCTTTTTTAATCAAATAAAGTGGGTGCGACTATTACATGATGAAAAAAAAGATTGAAAAAACGTTTCTGTTCCTGGTTTGAAAGTGTTATTTCCTGTTTGATTGTCTGGTCCTGACTTTGAAAGGAATTGTTCTACTCCAGTAACTTTGTTAGTAATAGAACCAATTAGGGAATGACACTTATCACCGAGGAACAAAAATCTGCTTTTCCTTGCAGAGCGAGGAAGAAGAGCGGGACGAGTCGGATCTGGACAGCGCCAGCATCCACAGTGTGTCGGTCCGATCCGAAGCCTCCTCCGGCCAGAGCAAGAAGGGCAAGAAGAGGAAGAAGAAGAAGAAAAGTACGCTAGAGATCAATTATCATAATTAATAATATAATTATGTTATTATAAAATTATATTATTATTATTAATTATAATAATATAATTATATTTATGGAGGTTTTTTTCATTTCAGAAGTGACTTGAGAAACTGCAAGTCGCTTCTGGTGTGAGAGAACAACAACAACAAGGATGTCCAGGGGACATTGCCCAGGGGACACCAGGATGATTAATGTTTTACCATCCTCATGTCCCCGCATGGGGAGCTGGAGCTGACAGAGGGAGCTCATCAATGCTCTCTCCAGAGTCAAACCTCTGACCTGTTGGTTTCAATGGTTTTAACCCATTGCACTGCTGGGGGCAATGAGTCCATTTTATGACACTGAGTCCTTTGTTGGAATACTTCCTCATTCTTCTGCACGCTGCTGGAAGAATTAGCATCTTATGTTGCCATGTTAATTGTCCCTGAAATTATTGCAAGGAAGTATTTAAACTCACACAACTATTATGCATAAGTGTCGTAAATTAGTTAAATTAGCCTCCCCGTATAAAGCGGCACCTAAATTTCCTACTTGACAGATGCAACTGTCTTTCGGGCTGCATAGGTCAGCAGCAAGCTAGACTATTAATGGTCGGGAGCTCACTCTGATCCGGGTTGACTTTGAACTCGTGATTTCATGCACCTGGCTACTAACCAGTCCTTGTTGTTATTGTTGTTGTTGTTATAGAAGTAGCTTGGCCTTTGCTCCCTTTGAATGATTTGCTGTTTTGGAGACATCCTTTGCCCGGGTGGTGCTCCCTGGCCTCGATTGCTCGCTGCCTGGAGACATAATAGTCACAGTTATAATATAATTAATATTATAATAAATTATTGTACAATAATATAATAATTAATAATAATAATAATTAATAATATAATTATATTATTATAAAATTATATTATTATTATTTATAATAATATAATTATATTATTATAAAATTATATTATAATAAAATTATATTAATAATAATAATAATATAATATAATATAATTATAAAATTATATTATTATTATTATTAATAATAATAATAATAATAATAATAATAATAATATTATCATAGAAGTAGCTTGGCTCTTTTCCCCTTGGAGGCAAGTTTGCAAGTGACCGTTTCCTTTCCCTGTTTGGCCTTTTGCTGCCCAGCCGAAGACGGCGACGGCTACGAGACGGACCACCAGGACTACTGCGAGGTGTGCCAGCAAGGCGGGGAGATCATCCTGTGCGACACCTGCCCGCGCGCCTACCACCTGGTCTGCCTGGACCCCGAGATGGAGAAGGCCCCCGAGGGCAAGTGGAGCTGCCCACACTGCGTAAGGGGACCCCCATTTGTGCCAACCCTACGATGTACGATGACTGCAGGTCTCCCATTCTAGGCTTCCTCAATGAGTCCAATGTCTCCATTGAAGGAAGCCATCGTCCCACTCCCTTCTTCTGCTTTGGCCAGGCTTTCTCCTGGAATGACAACCTGGTGTCCCATTCTATCTCTATCCCTCGATAATGGTTTGGACTGGGTGGCCCTTGGGGGCCCCCTCCAATTCTAGGACTTTCTCTCTCTCTTTATCTCAAGGGTTGGACTAGGTGGCCCCTTGGCGTCTCTTCAAACTCTATGATCATCTCCCTATCTTCCTATCTGTCTGTCTTGCTATCTATTATAGGATGGACTGGATAGTCTTTGGGGAACCCTTCCAACTCTAGGACCTCTAGGAATCTGTCTATCTTGCTATCTATCTATCTATCTATCTATCTATCTATCTATCTATCTATCTATCTACCTACCTATCTATGCATCTATCTATCTTGTTATCTTTCTATCTGTCTATCTTGCTATCAATGCATTTATCTATCTTGGTATCTTGCTATATATTTGTCTGTCTATCTATCTATCTATCTATCTATCTATCTATGCATTTATTTATCTTGTTATCTTGCTATATATTTATCTATCTATCTATCTATCTATCTATCTATCTATCTATCTGCATTTATTTATCTTGTTATCTTGCTATATATTTGTCTATCTATCTATCTATCTATCTATCTATCTATCTATCTATCTATGCGTCTATCAATCAATCTATCTATCTTACTATCTACCTATCTAGTAATCTATTTACCTATCTCTATCTATCTATCTATCTATCTATCTATCTATCTATCTATGCATTTATCTGTCTTGTTATCTTGCTATATATTTGTCTATCTATCTATCATCTATCTATCTATCTATCTATCTATCTATCTATCTATCTATCTATGCGTCTATCAATCAATCTATCTATCTTACTATCTACCTATCCTTCTATCTAGTAATCTATTTGCCTATCTCTATCTGTCTGTCTGTCTATCTATCTATCTATCTATCTATCTATCTATCTATCTATCTATGCATTTATCTATCTTGTTATCTTGCTATATATTTGTCTGTCTGTCTGTCTATCTATCTATCTATCTATCTATCTATCTATCTATCTATCTATGCATCTCTTTATCTATCTTGTTATCTATCTATGCATCTGTCAATCAATCAATCAATCAATCTTGTTATCTATCTATCTATCTATCTATCTATCTATCTATCTATCTATCATCTATCCGCCTATCAATCAATCAATCAATTTAGCTATCTTATTATCTATCTCTCTGTCTATCTTGATATCTATCTATGTGTCTATCAATCAATCTATCTATCTCTTTGTCTGTCTATCTATCTATCTATCTATCTATGCGTCTATCAATCAATCTATCTATCTTACTATCTACCTATCTATCTATCTATCTATCTATCTATCTATCTATCTATGCATTTATCTATCTTGTTATCTTGCTATATATTTGTCTATCTATCTATCTATCTATCTATCTATCTATCTATCTATCTATCTATGCGTCTATCAATCAATCTATCTATCTTACTATCTACCTATCTAGTAATCTATTTACCTATCTCTATCTATCTATCTATCTATCTATCTATCTATGCATTTATCTATCTTGTTATCTTGCTATATATTTGTCTATCTATCTATCTATCTATCTATCTATCTATCTATCTATCTATGCGTCTATTCAATCTATCTATTTATCTTGCTCTATCTATCTATTCCTATCTATCTATCTATCTATCTATCTATCTATCTATGCATTTATCTATCTTGTTATCTTGCTATATATTTGTCTATCTATCTATCTATCTATCTATCTATCTATCTATCTATCTATGCGTCTATCAATCAATCTATCTATCTTACTATCTACCTATCCTTCTATCTAGTAATCTATTTGCCTATCTCTATCTGTCTGTCTGCCTATCTATCTATCTATCTATCTATCTATCTATCTATCTATGCATTTATCTATCTTGTTATCTTGCTATATATTTGTCTGTCTGTCTGTCTATCTATCTATCTATTAGGCCTGGGTAACAACGGAAAAATTTGTTTCTAAAATCGATTTGTATTTGGGGTTTTTTTTGTTTCGATATTTAAAATAATTACAAAATTTTCCTTTTAAAAAGTTCGATATTTACGAAATTTCGTAAATGGTAAAAAATTAACGAATCGATTTACGAAACAATAACGAATCGATTCGTTAATGGCGGACGCGACCGCGAAATACGCTAAAAAACCTCCAAAACCTTCTGAAGCTTCCCTCTCCCTCTGTTGTTGACTGTTGGTGTGATATTATAATTTTTTTTCACTAATTAAAACATAAAACTGGCCCAGACATGCGGAAATAATAACGAAACGACCTCAAAACAATAACGAAACGAATACAATATCGAAATACGAAGCATTTACAAAACGTTTTTGAAAATTCGTTTTTTTTATAATTGCTCCAGAATGGTTCGTTATCGTTTTGTAATTGAAAAAATTAACGAATTATTAACGAATTACGAATTAACGAAACGAAACCGCCCAACCCTACTATCTATCTATCTATCTATGCATCTCTCTATCTATCTTGTTATCTATCTATGCATCTGTCAATCAATCAATCAATCAATCTTGTTATCTATTTATCTATGCATCTATCTTGCTATCTATCTATCTATCTATCTATCTATCTATCTATCATCTATCCGCCTATCAATCAATCAATCAATCAATCAATCAATTTAGCTATCTTATTATCTATCTCTCTGTCTATCTTGATATCTATCTATGTGTCTATCAATCAATCTATCTCTTTGTCTATCTATCTATCTATCTATCTATCTATCTATCTATCTATCCGTCTATCAATCAGTCAATCTATCTTGCTATCTACCTATCCTTCTATCTAGACATCTATTTCCCTATCTATCTATCTATCTATCTATCTTGTCTGTCTGTCTATCTATCTATCTTGTTATCTATGTATCTATCTATCTGCGAGTATATGCGGTATCTTGCTATCTATTAGGCTTGTTTGATCCAAAATAAATTGGTTCTAAACTTGTTTCGGATGTAGTGGGCGCCGGCGATTTGATTCTAAAGTCAATTCCTATTTTCACAGAAAAAAAAGTACTAAACTTTTCGAACCTTCCGAGACTTCCGAATCTTTAATAGTTTGAAAATGTTATTTCCTGTTTCATTGCATGGTCTGTACTTTGAAAGTAGTTGTTTGACTCCAGGAGCGGGTTGAAGGCAGCCAGTTTAAAAGTCACAGAAGCGATTTATAAGGGGAAGCTGAATCATTGAATCACTTCATGAGTTGTTTAAAAGTGGTGAAAAAGCTTTGAAATGACGAAGGACTTCCGGGTTTTCTTAAAAACTTCAAAATCGCTTCAAAAAGGAAATCTTTCCGACTTTATTCCGAATAATGAAAGTTCCGACTGGACCTAACCATGCCTACTATCTATCTATAGGTTGGACTGGATGGCGCTTGGAAACTCTTCCAACTCTAGGAATCTATCTATCTTGTTATCTTCCTATCGATCTCTTGTGTGTTAGATCCGGTGGCCCTTGAGGTCTCCTCCTACTCGAGGGTCGGACTTTTCCCAGACTCTGTCCCGTCTCTTCCAGGAGAAGGAAGGCATCCAGTGGGAGCCGAAAGATGAAGAAGAGGAGGAAGAGGAAGACCTTTGCGAGGAAGCCGACGACCACATGGAGTTCTGCCGAGTCTGCAAAGATGGCGGGGAGCTGCTCTGCTGCGACACGTGCCCGTCCTCCTACCACATCCACTGCCTCAACCCGCCGCTGCCGGAAATCCCCAACGGCGAATGGCTCTGCCCGCGGTGTACGGTGCGTTTTCTCGCTTCATACCCTCTAATGGTCCCAAATTCATAGCCATAGTCTGGATTAATATATTCTGCTGCATGGCCAGGGATTAAAATGAACTATCTATACATATAATAAAAGTCAAAGTTTGTATGCGGAGGACAAAAGTGTGGCGGTGTGGCAGTGTATGTGCCAGCATTCTGATTGGCCAGCCTGAAAGTTCCAAGATTCTGATTGGCTGCCGCTGTGGTGCTATTTGCATATGGTCTCTGATTGGCCAGCTTTACAGGAGCCCCTGGTGGAGAAAAGGGTTCATGACAGAAACGGAGACATTAGAGAAGGAAATTTGCATATGGTCTTTGATTGGCCAGCCTCAATTCCAAGATTCCGAGATGACAAAGAGAGGAAAAGAAAAGGCCAGAGGGGGCTGGGTCAGAAAATTACCAATACAGACCAAACTTGGCACACAGAGCCCCCATGACCCACTCTACATCCTACTGCAGTTTGGAGGAGGATGAACCATGGATGTTGGGACTTGCAGTACCATCACTCACATTCTGAGACCGCTGATAACCTCATCTAATGTCCGATCAAGACCAAACTTGGCACACAGAGCCCCCATGACCTACATGCCGATGCTGTTTGGAGGAGGGTTGACCATGGATGATGGGACTTGCAGTACCTTTACTCACTTACTGAAACCACTGTGACCCTAATCCAATGACTGATAAAGACCAAACTTAGCACACAGAGCCCCCATGCCCCACTCTGCATCCTGCTGCTGTTTGGAGGAGGGTTGACCATGGATGATGGGACTTCAAGTACCTTCACTCACTTCTTGAAAACAAACAACCGTCATTCAATGACCAATACAGACCAAACTTGGCACACAGAACCGCCATTACACACTTTCTCTAATAACCCGGGCAGCGCCGGGTCCCCAAGCTAGTGTCTTATAAAGTCCTGCTTTCTTTCTCCCCTTTTTCGTAAGCATCCTTACTGAATTCAGAACACCCAAGTTATTTATTTATTTAAAACATTTATACCCCGTCCTTCTCGACCTCCGCGGAGGGAATCAGGCAACAATTTGGTGCCAAACATAATATAAAAGACATAACAAATACACCCACAAAATTAAAATAAATGTAAATATACAGATTAAAATCTCCAGAATTGAAATTGTCAACCAAAGCAGTCCAAGTCTGGTCCAATAAATCTTGTCTTTCCCAATAAACAAACTATTCAGTGAATGCTTGATCCCATAACCAGGATTTAAGCTTCTTCCGGAAGGTCAGGAGGGAGGGAGCAGATCTAACCTCATTGAGGAGGGAGTTCCACAGCCGAGGGGCCACCACAGAGAAGGTCCCATCTCTCGTACCCACCAAAAGCGACTGTGATTGTGGTGGGACCAAGAGCAGGTCTTTCCCAGGTGATCTTAAGGTCCTTCCGGAAGGTCAGGAGGGAGGGGGCAGATCTAACCTCATTAGGGAGGGAGTTCCACAGCCAAGGGGCCACCACAGACAAGGTCCTGTCTCTCGTACCCACCAAAAGTGACTGTGATTGTGGTGGGACCAAGAGCAGGGCTTCCCCAGATGATCTTAAGGTCCTTCTGGAAGGTCAGGAGGGAGGGGGCAGATCTAACCTCATTGGGGAGGGAGTTCCACAGCCGAGGGGCCACTACAGAGAAGGTCCTGTCTCTCGTACCCACCAAAAGCGACTGTGATTGTGGTGGGACCAAGAGCAGGGCTTCCCCAGATGATCCTAGACGGTTCATAGAGGGAGATACGTTCAGACAGGTAAACTGGGCCGGAACCATTTAGGGTTTTATAGGTGAGCACTAGCACTTTGAATTGAGCCCGGAAGCTAATAGGCAGCCAGTGGAGCTGGCATAGCAAGGGAGTTGTACACTCCCATGAGCAACCTGGCTGCTTAGCGTTAGACTAGCTGAAGCATCCGAGCCATCTTCAGAGGCAACCCCATTTAGAGTGCGTTGTAGTAGTCTATTTGGGATGTAACCAGAGCATGGACCACCATGGTCAAGTCAGACCTCCCAAGATATGGTCACATTGATTGTGTATGTAACACAATAAAAAAGGGTGTGCCTTTTTTTACAAAACGTTATTGTCAAAAAAAAATTAACATCCCTAAAATTAGTAGATATATGAATATTTCTGAAAGTTGGACAAGAATGATCCCCTGTTATCTTGTGTCGTTGTGTAGAAAATTCAAGGCACTCACTCTTGTAGTTTTTTAAAAAATGTTGTTTATAAAAACTTTGAAAAATCCTTTTATTAGTGAAACGTTCTGAAATGTGGTGGGCTAACACTGGTAAATGTGTTCAACTGTTGAATGATCCCCTGTTATCTTGTGTCATTGTGTAGAAAATGTTAAAAAATGTTGTTCATAAAAACTTTGAAAATTCCCCAAAAATCCTTGAATATGTGAAACGTTCTGAAATGTGGTGGGCTAACAGTGGTAAATGTGTTCAATGGTTGGAGCAAGTTTCAACCTAATAGCTGTAAAAATGAGGGAGAAAGGAGCCCCTGAAGTTGGTCCCTTGCTACTTCACAGTTCGCTTATTGCGTACTCGCTGTTTCCAAGCTCAGTTCAAAGTGCTGGTGCTCACCTATAAAACCCTAAATGGTTCCGGCCCAGTTTACCTGTCTGAACGTATCTCCCTCTGTGAACCGTCTAGGACCTTAAGATCATCTGGGGAAGCCCTGCTCTTGGTCCCACCACAAACACAGTCGCTTCTGTTGAGTACGAGAGACAGGACCTTCTCTGTGGTGGCCCCTCGGCTGAATGATTCCCTGTTATCTTGTGTCATTGTGTAGAAAATTCAAGGTGCTCACTCTTGTAATTTTTTAAAAAAATGTTGTTTATAAAAACTTTGAAAATTCCCTAAAAATCCTTGAATAAGTGAAACGTTCTGAAATGTGGTGGGCTAACAGTGGTAAATGTGTTCAACTGTTGTAGCAAGTTTCAACCTAATAGCTGTAAAAATGAGGGAGAAATGAGCCCCTGAAGTTGGTCCCTCACTACTTCGCGGTTCGCTTATCGCGGACTCGCTGTTTCGCGGGTTTTTTAAAAATAGAAGAATGTAAGTAGTGAGGGAACAGTGAGGATTGAGGAAGCGTCACAGAGCCCAAGTGGTGGCAAGAGGCCCAGGTGGAGGAGGAAGAGGAAGGTAAAGAGGGCAAGAAGGGAAGGTGAGGGGGCGTCCCTACTTCGCAGAATTTCCTGGAACGCAATACCCGCGATAAGTAATTTATTTGCAATTATTGTAACGAAATAGTAATCCCATTATAGTAACACATTTTTCACTAACTATACTTTAGAAACAGTTTAGAAATGAAATGCCAGCACTCCCCACTTTTGGAATGACTTTTGAATTGTTTGTGTTATGGATTGCACATCCCTAGTGCCCACTATTGAAAGGCAAAGTTCAGCGGATTCTCCATTGGAAATGGAAAGAACCTTCTCCTCTGCTGACCTCTGACTCAACGGACCCCGAGTTGCCTGTTCTGCCTCTCCCAAAGCCCCGGGAAGGGCCCCCCGAGCGTGAATTCTTCGTCAAATGGGCTGGCCTCTCATATTGGCATTGCTCCTGGGTCAAAGAGCTGCAGGTAAGTGAGAGGAAATAGGGGCCGATACTAGGGCTGGGTAACCACGGAAAAAATTGTTTCTAAACTCGATTCGTTTCCAGGGGGCGCTAGCGTTTCCAAATTCTAAATACTTCCGAAATTTTGAGATTTCAAAATTTCATTATTTACGAAATTTCGTATAATTTCGAATCGATTCGTTAATGGCGGACGCGATTGCGCATATGCTAAAAAAACCCTCCAAATGGGGCAGGGGGGACTTCTGAAGCTTCCCTCTCCCTCTGTTGTTGACTGTTGGTGTGATAAAACAAACAACAACTATAAAACTTGCACCAGACACGTGAAAATAATTACGAAATAATTACGAAAAAATTACGAAATAATTACGAAATAATTACGAAATAGGCCTGGGTAACAACGGAAAAATTTGTTTCTAAACTCGTTTCATTTTTAGGGGGCCCATTGCGTTTCGTTTTTTAAAAGAATTCCGAATTTTTCTTTAAAAAAATTCGTTATTTACGAAATTTTCGTAAATTTCGAATTGATTCGTTAATGGCGGACGACATACGGAAATAATGCACCAGACATACGGAAATAATAACGAGACAATTACGAAATGATTTCGAAACGATTTCGAACCAATTACGAAACAATTACGAAATAAATTGAAAAATTCGTTTCGATTTTTAGTTGCTCCTGCATGGCTCAATATCGGATCGTAAGCTAATTTAAATACAAATTAATAACGAATTACGAAATTAACGAACGAAACCGCCCAGCCCTAGCCGATACCTTCATTTTGCCCTCCATCTTGTAGTATGACCCTTTCTGCATCTCCGTCACCTGTAAATGCGTTGAGGTGGGACAATGCCTCCATCCCGTTGCTACACAGCATTTGTGTTCAAATGAGACCGTTTCTTGCAGCTGGAGCTGTACCACACAGTGATGTTCCGCAATTACCAAAGGAAAAACGACATGGATGATCCGCCACCCTTCGACTACGGCTCCGGTGACGAGGACGGGAAGATCGAGAAGCGGAAGAAGAAGGACCCCCATTACGCCAAGATGGAAGAGAGGTTCTACCGCTATGGGATCAAGCCCGAGTGGATGATGGTTCACCGGATCCTCAACCACAGGTATGTGTGTGTGGTGTCTGGAAGAGAGAAACTGCTGGGAATCAGGCTGTGTTTGTTAGGGCTGGGTAACAACGGAAAAAATTGTTTCTAAACTCGTTTCATTTTTAGGGGGTCCATTGCGTTTCGTTTTTTAAAAGAATTCCAAATTTTTCTTTACAATTTTTTCGTTATTTACGAAATTTCGTAAATTTCGAATTGATTCGTTAATGGCGGACGCGATTGCGCAATATGCTAAAAAAAACCTCCAAATGGGACAGGGGGAACTTCTGAAGCTTCCCTCTCCCTCTGTTGTTGACTGTTGGCGTGTTAATTTATTTTTTTTATCACTGATAAAACAAACAACAACTATAAAACTTGCACCAGACATACGGAAATAATAACGAAACGATTTCGAAACGATTTCGAAACAATTACGAAACAATTACGAAATAAATTGAAAAATTTGTTTCAATTTTTAGTTGCTCCTGCATGGCTCAATATCGGATCGTAAGCTAATTTAAATACAAATAAATAACAAATTACGAAATTAACGAATGAAACCGCCCAGCCCTAGTGTTTGTGTTTCAGGATCCTGATGTGGGAAATGATGATGCCGAGGCTGAGGTACAAGATGGAGATGGTTTGGTCAGTGATTTTCAGGCAGACAATGACAGAGAGGCCTCAGTGCAAAGGGCAGTTTCTCATGAGAGTATCCCTGCTGGGCCTGGCAGTGACGGTTCACTCCCTCTCTCTCTGAGCTCCTAAGATTTCGGTTTGGAAAACAATCTGACACCTGGGAATTTTAATGAGCAGCCAGAAAGGGAGTTGAAGAATAGGCGGCTGGAGATTAGCCAGGATTGACAACAAACTCAGTGTTTATGTCGCTCTGAAAGTCTTTGTTTGATAAGGAGGAAATGTGGGGGAAAGCGAAACCAATTTCTGAGTTTTGGGATATAATTTATTATTTTATTTATTTATTTATTTAATGCATTTGTTGACCGCCGCTCTCAGCCCTAGGGCGACTCGCGGCGGTGTACAACATATAAAAACATTTTACAAAAAACACACAATACATCAACAAGCCATAATTACACAATCAATCTAAATTATACTAACTAATCCGCACCGTCACAACATAGGAGCCTACCAGTCTCATAATCCATATTCCAGTCCGATTGTCATTATCAGTTTGTCTGGCACTAGTTAAATGCCCTCTCAAATAGCCATGTCTTTAGGCTCTTACGGAAAGACATAAGGGAGGGCGCCTGTCTGATGTCAACAGGGAGGGTGTTCCACAGCCGGGGGGCCACCACCGAGAAGGCCCTCTCTCTCGTCCCCGCCAGACGTGCCTGTGAAGCAGGCGGGATCGAGAGAAGGGCCTCCCCAGACGATCTCAAGGTCCTCGTGGGCTCATAGGCCAAGATGCGGTCGAAAGGTATTTTGGGCCGGAACCGTTTAGGGCTTTGTAGGATAACACCAGCACCTTAAATTGGGCCCGGTAGCAAATCGGCAGCCAGTGGAGCTGGGACAACAAGGGCGTTGTATGCTCCCTGCGTCCCGCTCCCGTTAGTAACATGGCTGCCGCGCGCTGAACTAGCTGAAGCTTCCGGGCCGTCTTCAAGGGCAGCCCCACGTAGAGAGCGTTGCAGTAGTCGAGGCGGGATATAAGGTTTGCCTCAAGGGGAAACCTGTTAGATTAGGCATCATTTGGAAATCAAGTTCATTTGCCATGGAAATCCTGTTCAAGGGGTCTTGTTCTTGTGGAGTTTTTTTAGACTTTTGGATTGTCTGTGCATTTTGTTGATTCCTTTCTGAATAAACACTGTCTTGGATTGCTTTTCTATCTGGTGTGGACATTGCTTTGTGTTACTATCTTTTATTGACTTATTATTTTTTGGAACTTTCTTATTTTCTTACAAGCATTTATTGCTTCTGGCTATTTATTAAGCTTCAGTAAAAGAACATTTGTTTCTTCACTCTTCATGTGGTGTGTTTTGAAGTCAGAGAGCTTTTTCCTGACCTGGAGTGCAACAGAAACTCTGGTGTAGCAGCTTCTAGGCTTGGGTAACAACGGAAAAAATTGTTTCTAAACTCGTTTCGTTTTTAGGGGTCCATCGCATTTCGTTTTTTAAAATAATTCCGAAATTTTCCTTTTAAACATTTCAGAATTTACGAAATTTCGTATAATTATGAATCGATTCGTTAATGGCGGACGCGATTGCGCAATATGCTAAAAAACCCTCCAAATGGGACAGGAGGAACTTCTGAAGCTTCCCTCTCCCTCTGTTGTTGACTGTTGGTGTGATAAAACAAACAACAACTATAAAACTTGCACCAGACATGCCAAAATAATTACCAAATAGTTACGAAATAATTTGGAGATAATTTCGAAATAATAACGAAATAATTACGAAATAAATTGAAAAAATTGTTTCGAATCTAATTTACTCCTCACACTATTCCTGCATGGCTCAATATTGGATCGTAAGCTAATTTAAATACGAATTAATAACGAATTACGAAATTAACGAACGAAACCGCCCAAGCCTAGCGGCTTCTGGTTGAATGAAGTTTATTTATTTATCTTATCAGGAGCGAACCAATGCATTTGAGAAAACACAAAGTTAAAAAACTTGGCATTCTATTAAATGTCCTTTGAGCAGAATCTGGCCACTTGACATGCCTCTGGTGTGGCTATAAGAAGGTCCTCCATTGTGCATGTGGCAGGGCTCAGGCTGCATTTCAGTAGGTGGTATGTGGTTTGCTCTTCTCCACACTCGCATGTCGTAGACTCCACTTTGTGGCCCCATTTCTGAAGGTTGGCTCTGCATCTCGTGGTGCCAGAGCACAGTCTGTTCATTGCCTTCCAAGTCGCCCTGTTTTCTGTGTGCCCAGGGGGGAGTCTCTCACTGGATATCAGGTTCTGGGTTTGAGCCTGCCACTTTTGGACTCTCGTTTGCTGAGGTGTTCCAGCAAGTGTCTCTGTAGATCTTTGAAAACTATTTCTTGATTTAAGTCATTGACGTGCTGGCTGATACCCAAACAGGGGATGAGCTGGAAATGTCTCTGCCTTGGTCCTTTCACTATTGGCTGCTACTTCCCAGCAGATGTCAGGTGGTGCGATACGGCTAGGCAGTGTAATTTCTCCAGTGGTAATGCAGCATGTCTCATTAAGAGCCACAATCAATGTTTTAGTGTGGTGAAATATGATCCATACTGGGCATGCGTACTCAGTAGCAGAGTAGCAAAGCTCAAGGGCAGATGTCTTCACTGTATCTGGTTGTGATCTCCAGGTTGTGATCTCCAGGTTGTGCCAGTTAGCTTTTGTATGATATTGTCTCTAGCACCCACTTTTTGCTTGGCAGTGCTTCTTGTAGGTCAGAGCATGGTCCAGCGTAACTCCCAGGTATGTTGGTGTGCTGCAGTGCTCCAATGGGATTCCTTCCCAGGTCTTCCTCAGAGCTCGGGATGCTTGTCTGTTCTTAAGATGAAGAGCACATGTCTGTGTCTTAGAAGGATGAGGAATCAGTTGGTTTTCCCTTTAATAGGCAGTAAGAAGCACCTAAAGCTTTGAAGAGCTTCTGTTCAGCCATCTCAAAGCTCCCGCTTGAGCGGTGATGGCACGATCATCAGCATAGATGAAACTCTCTGTCATAGATGAATGAAGTTGGCTTTGTCAGAGTCAGACGATGCCCAGCGGAAGGATTGCTAGATCAGCAGACACTGAGTTGCAAAATAAGGACTCTGCAGGCTTCGAGTTACAAAAGAAACTAAGTTTACTAAGCACATTCAATAGACACGTCTTACTACAGCGAGCTACAATACAAGAACTAGTCAAAACGAAAACCTCTTCACATCTGCTTATCTTCTCTTGCTGAGACTGGTTACTCCCTTCTGTTCCCAGCAAGAGCAAACCTTATCTTACTTTTCTCAAGTTCATTTAGTCACAGCCTCATGGTATGAACATTCTGCACAGCATTTCTAATTCACAGTGGCATCCATATTGGCAATACATAGAAGCCCATTTAAAACACATACATAACTAAATTCATCCTGACAGTTTTGACCTATAAAGCTCTCTACTAGGCTTGGGTAACCACAGAAAAATTTGGTTCTAAACTCTTTTCGTTTTTAGGAGGGCCCTTGTGTTTCGTTGTTTTTAAAGAATTCCGAAATTTTCCTTTAAAAAAGTTCGAAATATACGAAATTTTGTAAAATTACAAATCGATCCGTTTTGAACTCTGTGATTTTGAAGCCGTTTGCTTGAACTTTCTGTTATCCCAGATTATATCTCAGTATAATCTGGATTATTTGCTAAGTTACGTTTTTTTGCACAGCAATTTGCTACAGACTTTAAGTTCTTGTTAGATACACTGAATTAAGTGTTTCTAGCTATTTTTGTTGTGTTAATAAACTTTGTTTGGACCTTTATTTTTGTGTCTGGCTCCTTTAAGGCATCTGGTTCACGACAATAATATAATATAATATTTTAATATAATATACAATAATATAATAATATAATATAATATAATAATATGCAATTATAATAATATAATAAAAATTATAATATAATATATAATATATATAATATAATATATATTATAATATAATATACAATAATATAATATAATAATAATCGAATAATATAATATATAATCTATATATATAAATCTGTTAGGTTGGTTCAACGGGACAGCAAAACTCCACAACCCCCCAACGAAACTGCACCAAAATTGCCATGCCCCAAGGACAACCCACTCGGTACAAACTAATCCACTCAGAATTGAAAACAACACAACAACACACAGATAAATCGCCAAAACAACTGAGCATGCGCACTGGAGCAAAGTCCCCAGCGCACGTGCACACATGGCCGAACGGCCAACGCACTCTCTGCACTTCCCTCCCTCCCTTGCCCTGCCCAGCATGAACACGTCGCCGCCCACACACACACACACACACACACAAACAACGCAACTTCCCCTGCCCCCTTCCCTCCACCCCCTCCTTCATCTTACCCCTCCCACGCTGCCTCCAAGCCCCACTCCACACACTCCAAGCCTCGCCGCGCCACATCCCCACCGAAAAGACACGCCCCCTCCCTTCGCCCCACCCCTTCCCTCCGTGACCTTGAGTATGGGAGTTGTAGTTCACCGACATCCAGACAGCACTGTGGACTCAAACAATGATGGATCCGGACCAAACTTGGCATAAGCATTCAATACGCCCAAATATGAACACAGATGGAGTTTGAGGGAAATAGACCTTGACATTTGGGAGTTGTAGTCACTGGGATTCAGAGTTCACCGAAACACTCAAAGAGCATCCTGAACCCCACCAATGGCAGAATTGGGGCAAACATGCCACACTGAACCCCCATGACCAACGGAAAATACTCAAGTTTACACACAAGCATAAAGAAGGGGGAGGAAGGAGGGATGCCAGAGAGAGAAAGAGAGAGAGAAAGAGGGGAAAGGAAGGAGTGTGTGAGAGAGAAAGAGGGAAAGAGAGAGAGAAAGAGGGGAAAGGAAGGAGTGTGAGAGAGAGAAAGAGGGAAAGAGAGAGAGAAAGGGGAAGGAAGGAGTGTGGGAGAGAGAAAGAAGAGAGAAAGAGGGAAAGGAGAAGTGTGAGAGAGAGAAAGAGGAAAGAGAGAAAGAAAGAGGGGAAAGGAAGGAGTGTGTGAGAGAGAAAGAGGGAAAGAGAGAGAAAGAGGGGAAAGGAAGGAGTGTGAGAGAGAGAAAGAGGGAAAGAGAGAGAGAAAGAGGGGAAAGGAAGGAGTGTGTGAGAGAAGAGAGAGAAAGAGGGGAAAGGAAGGAGTGTGAGAGAGAGAAAGAGGGAAAGAGAGAGAGAAAGAGGGGAAAGGAAGGAGTGTGAGAGAGAGAAAGAGGGAAAGAGAGAGAGAAAGAGGGGAAAGGAAGGAGTGTGAGAGAGAGAAAGAGGGAAAGAGAGAGAGAAAGAGGGGAAAGGAAGGAGTGTGAGAGAGAGAAAGAGGGAAAGAGAGAGAGAAAGAGGGGAAAGGAAGGAGTGTGAGAGAGAGAAAGAGGGAAAGAGAGAGAGAAAGAGGGGAAAGGAAGGAGTGTGAGAGAGAGAAAGAGGGAAAGAGAGAGAGAAAGAGGGGAAAGGAAGGAGTGTGTGAGAGAGAAAGAGGGAAAGAGAGAGAGAAAGAGGGGAAAGGAAGGAGTGTGAGAGAGAGAAAGAGGGAAAGAGAGAGAGAAAGAGGGGAAAGGAAGGAGTGTGTGAGAGAGAAAGAGGGAAAGAGAGAGAGAAAGAGGGGAAAGGAAGGAGTGTGAGAGAGAGAAAGAGGGAGAGAAAGAGGGGAAAGGAAGGAGTGTGAGAGAGAGAAAGAAGGAAAGAGAGAGAGAAAGAGGGGAAAGGAAGGAGTGTGAGAGAGAGAAAGAGGGAAAGAGAGAGACCTCTGTTCTGTGTTTATGAGAGACCACGTGAACCTTGTGGCCGATTTCTCTGCCTTCCAGCTTCGACAAGAAGGGAGAGGTCCATTATTTGATCAAGTGGAAAGACCTGCCCTATGACCAATGCACTTGGGAGGTGGACGAGATCGACATCCCTTACTACGAGAACTTCAAGCAGCTCTACTGGCATCACAGGTACGAGTAACACATTGCAGGGTCGTGTACCACGGACCTGCGGAAGTGAAAAGCAGAATCGTAGCATTATACGTATGTGGTGTGGAAGAGGGTGCATTTCCGTGCCTTATTTCTAGTGTTTCTCTCCCTTTTTCTCCAGGGAGAGGATGCTGGGAGAAGAGAGCGGCCAGGTTTCCAAACATCTGAGCCAGAAAGATAAGAAACTGAGCGATGAAAAAGTCGAGCGTCCCCCGGAAACTCCACTTGTGGATGTATGTTATGGAAGAAAGACCGCCAATCATGAATTATGAAAGCCATCACAAAGCTACGACTGCAATAGACACTAACCTCCTAATATGCTTTGGTTCCTTAACTCTACCAAGTTACTTTTTCCAAGTTCGATAGAGTACCACAACAAAGGTTGAATAAAAAGTAATGCCTCCACCTCTGTAACTCCTCAACAGATGGCAATCCTGGTATGTTTCAGGTACTGGCTTGTTCAGTAGACCCTCCTCTACAGTTCCATTTTGGTGGGAACCCTTAGCATTGAACAGTTGTGTTGTTAAAGTGAAAAGTAATGCCTCTACCTTCGTAACTTCTCAACAGATGGCAGTCCTGGTGTGCGGCAGGTACTGGCTTGTTCAGTAGACTCTCCTCTACAGTTCCATTCTGGCGGGAAGCCTTAGTATTGAACGGTTGTGTTGTTAGAGTGCAAAGTATGGACCCTGCGCAGACGGTTAAGTAACGTGCATTCATTGAATTCCCACCAAAATGGAACTGTAGAGGAGAGTCTACTGAACAAGCCAGTACCTGCCGTATATGTTGCATAAGTCGCATTGACTGACTGTCTGCGCAGGGTTCCACACTTCGCACTCTAACAACCCAACCATTCAATGCTAAGGCTTCCCGCCAAAATGGAACTGTAGAGGAGAGTCTACTGAACAAGCCAGTACCTGCTGCGTACGTTGCTTAAGTCGCATTGAGCAACCGTCAATGCATAGTTCCATACTTCGCACTTTAACAGCACAACCGTTCAATGCAAAGGCTTCCTGCCAAATGAACTGTAGAGGAGAGTCTACTGAACAAGCCAGTACCTGCCGACTACATTGCTTATTGACCAACCATCTTAGCAGGGTTCCATACTTCGCACTTTAACAACACAACCATTCAATGCTAAGGCTTCCCGCCAAAATGGAACTGTAGAGAAGAGTCTACTGAACAAGCCAGTACCTGCCGCGTACGTTGCTTAAGTCGCATTGACCGACTGTCTGCACAGGGTTCCATACGTTGCACTCTAACAACACAACCGTTCAATGCTAAAGCTTCCTGTCAAAATGGAACTGTAGAGGAGAGTCTACTGAACAAGCCAGTACCTGACGCGTACGTTGCTTAAATCGCATTGACTGACCGTCGGCGCATAGTTCCATACTTTGCACTCTAACAACACAACCGTTCAATGCTAAGGCTTTCCGCCAAAATGGAACTGTAGAGGAGAGTCTACTGAACAAGCCAGTACCTCTCGCATACCAGTACTGCCATCTGTTGAGGAGTTACAAAGGTGGAGGCATTACTTTTCACTTTAACAACACCACCGTTCAATGCTAAGGCTTCCTGCCAAAATGGAACTGTAGAGGAGAGTCTACTGAACAAGCCAGTACCTGCCACATACCAGTACTGCCATCTGTTGAGGAATTATGAAGGTGGAGGCATTACGTTTCACTTTAACAACACCATCGTTCAATGCTAAGGCTTCCCGTCAAAATGGAACTGTAGAAGGAGAGTCTACTGAACAAGCCAGTACCTGCCACATACCAGGACTGCCACCTATTGAGGAATTACGAAGGTGGAGGCATTACTTTTCATCCAACCCTCATATATTAGAAAACATAAGGGCTGATTGCTGGATTGTAGTTCCCAGCATGCCTGGATAGGGCTGTTGGGAGATGCAGTCCAACAACATCTTTGTTATAAGAGAGGAGGGTGCGAGATAAATAATAATAATAATAATAATAATAATAATAATAATAATAATAATTTTCCATCCCGGCAGCCGACTGTGAAATTCGACAAGCAGCCGTGGTATATCAACACAACCGGGGGAACGCTGCACTCGTATCAACTGGAAGGGCTGAACTGGTTGCGGTTCTCTTGGGCGCAAGGGACGGACACGATCCTGGCCGACGAAATGGGCCTCGGAAAGACCGTCCAGACCATTGTGTTCCTTTACTCCCTTTACAAAGAGGTAAGCCCGGGTTGTCCGACTCGGGGTTGTCTACAGGTTTTGCCGCCTCCGTTGCTCACCGAAGGCTTCTTTGCTCCGGAAGGGTCACTCCAAAGGTCCGTACCTGGTCAGCGCCCCGCTTTCCACCATCATCAACTGGGAGCGCGAGTTCGAGATGTGGGCGCCCGAGTTCTACGTGGTCACCTACACGGGGGACAAGGAGAGCCGGTCGGTCATCCGGGAGAACGAGTTCTCCTTCGAGGACAACGCCATTCGGGGCGGAAAGAAAGTCTTCCGAATTAAGGTGAGCAGCAAGAAATGTTAGTATCTGCTTGTCCAGTTTTGTTGGATTCGTTTCGATCTGTTCAACTCGACGAGGTCACCAGGGTTCTTGGAGAGGCGAGGCCAACCACATGCATCCTAGACCCCTGCCCTTCCTGGATGGTGAAAGAAGCCAGAGGGGGTTTGGCAGAGTGGGTGAAGGTGGTGGTTAATGCCTTCCTTCGGGAAGGCAAGATTCCAGCCAGCTTAAAACAAGCTGTTATCAAACCGCTGTTGAACAAACCATCACTAGACCCCACTCAATTCGTCAACTTTCGACCAGTTTCCAATCTCCCCTACTTGGGTAAAGTCCTGGAACGTGTGGTGGAGTTCCTGGTAGACACAAACTATCTAGATCCAGCACAGTCTGGCTTTAGGCCGGGACATGGTACCGAGACAGCCTTGGTCGCCTTAGTGGACGATCTGCGCCGGGAACTGGACAGGGGGAGTGTGTCCCTGTTGGTTCTACTGGACCTCTCTTTGGCCTTCGATACCGTCCACCACGGTATCCTTCTGGGACGCCTCGCAGGAATGGGTCTTGGGGGTACTGCTTTGCAGTGCCTCCGGTCCTTTCTCGAGGGTCGCTCCCAGGTGTCACTAGGGGACTCCTGCTCGACTCCTCGGCCATTGTACTGTGGAGTCCCGCAAGGTTCAGTACTGTCCCCTATGTTGTTTAACATATACATGAAGCCGTTGGGAGAGATCATCCGGAGTTTCGGGGTGCGGTGTCATCTGTACGCAGATGATGTCCAACTCTGTCACTCCTTCCCACCTACCACTAAGGAGGCTGTTCAGGTCCTGAACTGGTGCTTGGTCGCTGTGACGGACTGGATGAGGGACAACAGATTGAAACTAAATCCAGACAAGTAGGGCTAAGCACTAGGGCTGGGTAACCACGGAAAAATTTGTTTCTAAACTCGATTCATTTTTAGGGGGTTTTTGTGTTTCGTTTTTTAAAAGAATTCCAAAATTTTCCTTTAAAAAAGTTCGAAATATACGAAATTTCGTAAAATTACGAAACAATTACGAATTTCGTTAATGGCGGACACGATTGCGCAATATGCTAAAAAACCCCTCCAAATGGGACAGGGGGAACTTCTGAAGCTTCCCTCTCCCTCTGTTGTTGACTGTTGGTGTGATAAAACAAACAACTATAAAACTTGCACCAGACATGCGGAAATAATAACGAAACGATTTCGAAACAATTTCGAAACAATTACGAAATGAATTGAAAAATTCGTTTCGATTTTTAGTTGCTCCTGAATGGTTCAATATCGCTTCGTTATAAAAAAAATAACGAATTAATAACGAATTACGAAATTAACAAACGAAACCGCCCAGCCCTACTAGACCCCACTCAATTCGTCAACTTTCGACCAGTTTCCAATCTCCCCTACTTGGGCAAAGTCCTGGAACGTGTGGTGGCCTCACAACTCCAGGAATTCCTGGTGGACACGGACTATCTAGCTCCGTCACAGTCTGGCTTTAGGCCGGGACGTGGTACCGAGACAGCCTTGGTCGCCTTAGTGGACAATCTGCGCCGGGAACTGGACAGGGGGAGTGTGTCCCTGTTGGTTCTACTGGACCTCTCTTCGGCCTTCGATACCGATCCTTCTGGGACACCTCGCGGGAATGGGTCTTGGGGGTACTGCTTTGCGGTGGCTCCGGTCCTTCCTCGAGGGTCGCTCCCAGAAGGTGTCACTAGGGGACACCTGCTCGACTCCTCGGCCATTGTACTGTGGGGTCCCGCAGGGCTCTGTACTGTCCCCTATGTTGTTTAACATATACATGAAGTCGTTGGGAGAGATCATCCGGAGTTTCGGGGTTCGGTGTCATCTGTACGCAGATGATGTCCAACTATATCACTCCTTTTCACCTGCCACTAAGGAGGCTGTTCAGGTCATGAACCTGTGCTTGGTCGCTGTGACGGACTGGATGAGGGACAACAGATTGAAACTAAATCCAGACAAGACAGAGGTACTCCTGGTCAGTCGTAAGACCGAACAGGGTACGGGGTTACAGCCAGTGCTGGACGCGGTCACACTCCCACTAAAGGCGCAGGTTTGCAGTCTGGGAGTGATCCCGGACTCATCGCTGAGCCTGGAACCCCAGGTCTCGGCGGTGGCCAGGAGAGCTTTTGCACAACTAAAACTTGTGCGCCAGCTGCGCCCGTACCTTGGGAAGTCTGACTTGGCCACGGTGGTCCACGCTTTGGTTACATCCCGCTTAGACTACTGCAACGCTCTATACGTGGGGTTGCCTCTGAAGACTGCCCGGAAGCTGCAGCAAGTACAACGTGCGGCAGCCAGACTACTGACGGGTGCTGGGTACAGAGAGCACACCACTCCGCTGTTACGCCAGCTCCACTGGCTGCCAATTAGCTTCCGAGCACAATTCAAAGTGCTGGTGTTGACCTATAAAGCCCTAAACGACTCCGGCCCTGTTTACCTCTCCGAACGTATTCTCCCCTACGAACCATCAAGATTACTAAGATCGTCTGGAGGGGCCCTGCTCTCGGTCCCACCGGCCTCACAATCGCAGCTGGTGGGGACGAGGGACAGGGCCTTCTCGGTGGTGGCCCCGCGACTCTGGAACTCTCTCCCGCCAGAGGTCAGAACCGCCCCATCTATCCTGACATTCAGGAAACGGGTGAAGTCATGGTTATGGAGACAGGCATTCGAAGAATGAGACAATGATTTGGGTGGAAGACGGCGTATATTCGATTTCAGTATGACGACTGACCACTGTAGTTTTAAATATATGTGCTTTTTAAATGTTTTATTGTCATGTGTATTTCGATATTTTACCGATTGTATGTGTTTTATTGTTGGAAACCGGGCTGAGTCCCTCTTATGAGGTGAGAAGCTCGGTATATAAAACTTTGAAATAAATAAATAAATAAATATTGTATTACTAACTAGGGCTGGGCGGTTTCGTTCGTTAATTTCATAATTTGTTATTAATTCGTTATTTTTTTTGATAACAAAGCGATATCGAACCATTCAGGAGCAACTAAAAATCGAAACAAATTTTTCAATTCGTTTCGTAATTGTTTCGTAATTGTTTTGAAATCGTTTCGAAATCGTTTCGTTATTATTTCCGCATGTCTGGGGCAAGTTTTATAGTTGTTGTTTGTTTAATCAGTGAAAAAAAATTATAATTATCACACCAACAGTCAACAACAGAGGGAGAGGGAAGCTTCAGAAGTTCCCCCTGTCCCATTTGGAGGTTTTTTTAGCATATTGCGCAATCGCGCCCGCCATTAACGAATCGATTCGTAATAGTTTCGTAATTGTTTCGTAATTGTTCCGAAATTTCGTAAATTTCGAACTTTTTTAAAGAAAAATTTCGGAATTCTTTTAAAAATCGAAACGCAAAAACCCCCTAAAAACGAATCGAGTTTAGAAACAAATTTTTCCATGGTTGTCCAGCCCTATTACTAACTGTACCTGCCACGCATTGCTTTGGCCAACCTTCCCGCCCTCTTTCTCTCCTTCCTTTCCTCTTTTTCTTGCCCTTCCTATTTATCTTCTTCTTTCTTCCATCTCTACCTGTTTCTTTCCTCCATTTCTTTGCTCTTTGGTTACATCCTTCCTTCTTTCTCTTTCACTTTTTTATTTCCTTCTCTCCTTCCTTGTTTCTTCTCCCTTTCCTTCTTTTCCTCCCTCCTTCCCCCTTTCCTTCCTTCATTCCTTCCCTCTTTCCCTCCTTCTCTCGTTACTTCTTGACTGTCCCTTCCAACTCTATTCTGTAAGTATTTAATGTGTATTATATAGTAATATACAATAGTAACATATTATATAGTAATTTATATAACAATATATAAAATATTGTATTTATATCTTACATAGAAAGAAGGAAAGGAAGAAGGAAGGAAGGAAAAAGGAGGGAGGGAAAGAGGGAAGGAAGGAAAGGAAAGAAGGAGGGACAGGAAGGAAGGAAAAAGGAAGGAATGGAAAGAAAGGAGGGGGTAAAGAAAGGAGGGAGGGAAGGAAATGAAGGGGAAGGAAATGAAGAAAAGGAAAGGAGGAGGAAAGGAAGGAAGGGTGGAAGGAAAAGAAGGAAAGGAAAGGAAGAAGCTACTAAAGTGCTTTTGGGACTTGTTATTGGAGATTTCCTATTCTGGATGAAAAAGCTAAATGACGATACAGAAAAAGGGAAGGGAGAGGGAGGGAAGGAAGGAAGGAAGGAAGGAAGGAAGGAAGGGGAGAAAGAAAGAAAGAAAGGGGAAGGGAAAGAAAGAAGGAAAGAGAAAGAAGCATGGAAGCAAAGAAGGAAGGAAGGAAAGAGGTAGAGAAGGAAGAAAGGAGAGAAAGTGGAGGGAAAAGAAAAAGGAGGAAGGAAGGAAAGAGGTAGAGTAGGAAGAAGGGAAGGGAGAAAAGGGAAGGAAGGAAAGAGGAAGTGAAGGAAGGAAGGAAAGGAGAGAAAGAGGGAGGGAAGGAAATAGAGAAGGAAGGATGGAAGCAAAAAGTGAAGGAAGCAAGGAAAGAGGTAGCTAAGGAAGAAAGAGAAAGTGGAAGGAAAAGAAAAAGGGGGAAGAAAGAAAAGAGGTAGAGAAGGAAGAAAGGAGAGAAGGGAAAAAGGGAAGGAGGGAAAGAGAGAGTGAAGGAAGGAGGGAAAGGAGGAGAGAAAGAGGGAGGGAAGGAAAGAAGGAAAGAGAGAAGGAAAGATGGAAGCAAAAAGCAAAGGAAGAAAGGAAAGAGGTAGAGAAGGAAGAAGAGAAAAGGGAAGGAAAAGAAAAAGGGGGAAGGAAAGGGATAGACAAGGAAGAAGAGAAGAAAGGAAACAAAGGGAAGGAAGGAAAGAGGGAGTGAAAGAGGAAGGAGAAAAAGAGGGGGGAAAGGAAAGAAGGAGAGAGTATTTCAAGCAAAAAGTGAAGGAAAGAAGGAAGGAAAGAAGGAAGGGAGGGAGGGAGGGAGGGGGTAGAGAAGGAAGAAAGGAGAGAAAGAAGGAAGAAAGGGGAAGGAAGGAAGGGGAGAAAGAGGGAGGGAAGAAAAGAAGGAAAGAGAAAAGGAAGGATGGAAGCAACAAGCGAAGGAAGGAAGGAAGGAAGGAAAGAGGTAGAGAAGGAAGAAAGGAGAGAAAGGGGAAGGAAAAGAAAAAGGGGGAAGAAAGGAAAGAGGTAGAGAAGGAAGAAAAGAGAGAAGAAAAAAAGGGAAGGAGAGAAAGCGGAAGGGAAGAGAAGAAGGAAAGAGGGAAGAAAGGATGGAAGCAAAAAGCAAAGGAAGGAAGGAAAGAGATAAGGAAGGAAGGAGAGAAGGAAAGAAGAAAGGGGAAGGAGGGAAAGAGGGAGCAAAGATTGACCATAGATGATAATAATAATAATAATAATAATAATAATAGAATCAAAGAGTTGGAAGAGACCTCATGGGCCATCCAGTCCAACCCCATTCTGCCAAGAAGCAGGAATAATAATAATAATAATAATAATAATAATAATAATAATAATAATAATAATAGGAGCAACCTCGGGGTCCATCCAGCCCAACCCCCTTCTGCATTCAGGCAGGAAAAGCACAATCAAAGCACCCCCAACAGATGGCCATCCAGCCTTTGTAAGAATAATAATCGCAGAAACCCCAGGGGCTCTGCGGAGCACAATTTGAGAATGATTGCTCCAAGAGCAGGGGCGGCTCGTCCATTACGCAAAGTAAGCGGTCGCAGTACACCTTTTTTTTTGCCAGGGGCGCAGAGGCGCCTCTGGAAATGCCCCTCGACCGCCACTTGAGGAAATTACCTGTCCAAGAGATTGTAATATATGCCTCTGTTGGAAGTCATCTTCGACTCTTACTGGTGCTCTATGTCTCCCTCGTTCTCTTGTCTCTTCCAGAAAGAAGCCCAAATCAAGTTCCACGTCCTGCTGACCTCCTATGAACTCATCACCATTGACCAGGCCATCCTGGGGTCGATCGAGTGGGCCTGCCTCGTGGTGGATGAAGCCCACCGGCTGAAGAACAACCAGTCCAAAGTCAGTGACATCTGACGGTCGTAACACGTGCTTTGCTTTCTCCTCCTCCTTTGCTTTGTTTTATTCTGGGCTGGGGAACACAGCTCTTGGGGTCCCCCAATTTCTGTCCCATCTTTCTACCCAAGTTCTTCAGGGTCCTCAACAGCTATAAGATCGACTACAAGCTGCTCTTGACGGGGACACCACTGCAGAATAACCTGGAGGAGCTCTTCCACTTGCTCAACTTCCTCACCCCAGAAAGGTTCAAGTGAGTAATCCGGGGTCCTTGTGGGTTGGCCGGGTGCTGCCCCCAGCCTTTGGGGTCCGTCCCCTTGACCAGTGACCCCTCGTTTCCCTCTGTCAGCAACCTGGAGGGCTTCCTGGAGGAGTTTGCGGACATCTCCAAGGAGGACCAGATCAAGAAGCTGCACGACGTGCTGGGGCCCCACATGCTGCGGAGGCTCAAGGCCGACGTCTTCAAGAACATGCCCGCCAAGACCGAGCTCATTGTCCGCGTTGAGCTCAGCCAGATGCAGAAGTATGTGCGAGGAGCACCCTAGTAGGAAGTGGGAGGGGCACCCTAGTAGTTAATGGAAGGGGCACGCTTATAGGACGTGTGAGGAGCACACTTGTAGGAAGTGGAAAGGGCATACTTGTAGGAAGTGAGAGGGACACACTTGTAAGAAGTGAGAGGGGCACACTTACAGGAAGTGCAAGGGACACCCTTGTAGGAAATAGAAGGGGCACACTTGTAGGAAGTGCGAGGGTCACTCTGGTAGGAAGTAGAGGGGGCATACCTGTAGGAAGTGTGAGGGGGACCCTTGTAGGAAGTGGAAGGGGCACACTTGTTAGACGTGAGAGGGGGACACTTATAGGAAGTGTGAGGGGCACACTTGTAGGAAGTGGAAGGGGCACACTTATAGGAAGTGCAAGGGACACCCTTGTAGGAAGTGGAGGGGGTACACTTGTAAGGAGTGGAAGGGGCACATTTGCAGGAAGTGCGAGGGGCACACTTGTAGAAAGTAGAGGGGGCACACTTGTAGGGCGTGGAAGGGGCACATCTGTAGGAAGTGCGAGGGGCACACTTGTTAGATGTGAGAGAGACACATAGGAAGTGCGAGGAGCACCCTTGTAGAAATGGAGGGGACACACTTGTAGGATGTGGAAGGGGCATACTTGTAGGAAGTGTGAGGGGGACACACATAGGAAGTAGAAGGGGCACTCTTGTAGGAAGTAGAAGGGGAAACTTGTAAGAAGTGCGAGGGGCACCCTTGTAGAAAGTAGAGGAGGCACACTTGTAGAAAGTGCAAGTTGCACCTTTGTAGGAAGTGGAGGGGGTACACTTGTAAGGAGTGGAAGGGGCACATTTGCAGGAAGTGCGAGGGGCACACTTGTTAGATGTGAGAGAGACACACTTATAGGAAGTGCTAGGGGCACCCTTGTAGAAATGGAGGGGACACACTTGTAGGGCGTGAAAAGGGCACATTTGTAGGAAGTGCGAGGGGCACACTTGTAGAAATGGAGGGGGCACACTTGAAGGGCGTGGAAGGGGCACATTTGTAGGAAGTGTGAGGGGCACACTTTTAGAAAGTAGAGGGGCACACTTGTAGGGCGTGGAAGGGGCACATCTGTAGGAAGTGCGAGGGGCACACTTGTTAGATGTGAGAGAGACACATAGGAAGTGCGAGGGGCACCCTTGTAGAAATGGAGGGGGCACACTTGTAGGGTGTGGAAGGGGCATACTTGTAGGAAGTGTGAGGGGGACACATAGGAAGTACAAGGGGTACTCTTGTAGGAAGTAGAAGGGGAACACTTGTAAGAAGTGCGAGGGGCACCCTTGTAGAAAGTAGAGGAGGCACACTTGTAGAAAGTGCAAGGTGCACCCTTGTAGGAAGTGGAAGGGGCACACTTGTAGGAAGTGGGAGGGGCACACTTGTAGGAAGTGGGAGGGGCACACTCGTAAGAAGCGAGAGGGGCACACTTATAGGAAGTGCGAGGGGCACCCTTGTAGGAAATAGAGAGGGCACACTTGTAGAAACTGGAAGGAAGTGTGAGGGGGACACATGTAGGAAGTACAAGGGGCACTCTTGTAGGAAGTAGAAGGGGAACACTTGTAAGAAGTGTGAGGGGCACCCTTGTAGAAAGTAGAGGAGGCACACTTGTAGAAAGTGCAAGGTGCACCCTTGTAGGAAGTGGAAGGGGCACACTTGTAGGAAGTGGGAGGGGCACACTTGTAGGAAGTGGGAGGGACACGCTTGTAGGAAGTGGGAGGGGCACACTTGTAGGAAGTGGGTGGGGCACATTTATAGGAAGTGCAAGGGGCACCCTTGTAGGAAATAGAGGGGGCACACTTGTAGAAAGTGGAAGTGTGAGGGGGACACATGTAGGAAGTTCAAGGGGAATTCTTGTAGGAAGTGGAAGGGGCACACTTATAGGAAGTGTGAGGGGCACTCTAGTAGGAAGTGGAGGGGGCATACCTGTAGGAAGTGCGAGGGGCACCCTTGTAGGAAGTGGAAGGGGCACACTTGTTAGACCTGAGAGGGGCACACTTATAGGAAGTGCGAGGTGCACTCTTGTAGGAAGTGGGAAGGGCACACTTGCAGGATGTGCAAGGGGACACACTTGCAGAACATGCTAAGGTCACACTTCCAGGACGTGCAAGGGTCACACTGGTGAGATGTGTGAGATGTGCAACAGACACACTTCCAGGATATGCTAAGGGTACACTTGCGGGACATTTGAGAGATACACTTGTGGGATATGGGGAGGGACACAGTTATAATATTTGTGATGAGCACATTAGAGGGGCGTGTGAGAGGCACACAAGCGGGCACATTTGTGTATGTGTGAGGAACACCCTTCTGGCACTTGTTAGGAGTGCACTTGTGTTTCACGCACAAGCAGACTTGTAACAGAATGATATTTTTGGCCGAAGGTTTGGACAGAATCTCTCTCCTTGCCATTCGAACTCATCACTTTTCTCATTGCTTTGTCGGTCTGTTTTTTCGCGAACCCTGCAGGAAATACTACAAGTTAATTCTGACGAGAAACTTTGAGGCCTTGAATTCGAAAGGCGGTGGCAGTCAAGTCTCCCTCCTCAACATCATGATGGACCTCAAGAAATGCTGCAACCACCCATATCTTTTTCCTGTGGCCGCCGTGGTAGGTCTCTTGTGTTGTGGGTGCCGCTAATGACAGCCGCTGGCATCCCAGTCAACCAGAGCTGGGAACAACAGCTGCAAGTGAAAGGAATCTGAAATCAAGGCTTCCATCCCTCCCTCACTTCCTTCCCCTTCTTCCCAGGAAGCCCCGGTCTTGCCAAATGGCTCCTATGATGGAAATTCCCTGGTGAAATCCTCCGGAAAGTTGATGCTGTTGCAAAAGATGCTCAAGAAGCTGCGGGATGGCGGTCATCGGGTGCTTATCTTCTCCCAGGTGAGGAGTGTGCAAAACGGCACAAATTTGTTTTGTTTTCGGGGAAAATTGGGATTTTCCAGGAGGGGAGCTATGAAGATGTGGTGGAAAAAAGTTTCTTTTTAAATCTCTTTAATGCCTTGTACTGAAGCAGTTTCCCTTTAAAATTGGCTGGGGCTTTCTTGTGAGCTTTTAAACCTTGAGGCTTTATATCACAGGCCTGAGACACTCTTGTAGTTAACAAAGTAACAAAGTTTATTTATAGCTTCTGGCTCCAACGCTTATGGTTACATTTGTGTGTTCTGTTAGTCTTGAGTCTTACATTCAATATCATTCACTTGGTTAACTTTTCCTATCAAACTTCAACTGTTTCACATCAACAAATATGTTACTTTTTCATACACTCTTGACGAAACTATATTCTGCCTTAAACAACACTGGCACTTCTTTCTTTTCCTTAAAACTTGAGCTCCATTTTCCTAACTGCTTTTCTCTCACAGAAGTTCCTAACTGTACCTCACAAACAGGAATCCCTAACTGAACTTTTCCTGACTCTCTAACTGCCTATTTTTTAAACTTAACTCCGCCCATTTGGAATGTTCAGCTCTCTTCCCCCAACTGCCATACTGGCTCAGTGGAGTTTTCAAATCCTGGCCTACACTCATCTGCATACGACCAATCAGCTGCATGCATGCAAATTAATCTTGCCTCTACTGTTGCTACCCTATTTGTGCCAATTCTGCCACATTGCAACATAGACCTATACATCAAAAATTTAACATAGATCAACAAATTCGCTACAGGAGCTATTCAGATGGATAACTGTTGCTCTCCAGGCCAAGAAATCCCTCTGACTTTAAACACCACATAGCTGAGTAAAAATGCAAGCAGTTTATTGAAGATAATTAAAAAGCAATAGCAGTAAAACACACTCCATAAAAATAGGTAAATTCAATTAGGTAGAAAGATAAGTAGAAACAAATAGTCCATCAAAGTTCATGAAAAACAAATACAGAAACTTTCAAGGTAAAACTCCAAAACTTGAATCATGAAATCAAACAAGGAACTTAAGACATGAATCTATCCAAGGCAAGGCTTCCGAGGACCAAGAAAGACGTCTTGACTCAATTCCAACATTGTTTCATCTGACTATAGTTTCTATACTTGGCACTTTTATCCCCTAATCTACTCTATGTCCCAAGTGGTCAGGAATGGATTTCGTTTCAGCCTTGACTCTGTTATCAATCTCTCTCTCAGTCTGGCAGAACGTCTGAGAGATTGGTTTGTCTGCCTGTACTGACTGAAAATATGCCTCCTATCTACTGGCTCATTAATTTCTGCAGCTGGCCCAGGTGTCGAGCTTTTCTCATACTCAAAGTCCTGGGAATTCTCTGGTAGCAATTCAGGCCCTCTTCCAGGAACCATACCATCATCCCCACACCCTTCAGGAACACTCTCATCAGAAAAAAACACTTTGAACAGGAATCCCACTGTCGTTTTCTGCGTCTAGGGCAACCTCATCATTAGAAACATCATTGTCATTCCCAACATCCAGCATTCCCTGATCATTAGACACAATCACAGGCTGAACTCCAACAGTAATTCGGGATCTGGAGTTCTGTTTTCTTTGGTAAGATTGGTGCCAATGGGGTAAATTTAGAGACTCGTTTCTCCATCATTTTTATACCTATCAGGATGAAACTTAGCACACATGTAGGACACAGTTATGACTACAATCCTGCCAAGTTTTATAATATTTCACCAATCCACTGATTTTTATTTGGGATCTGTAATTCCATTTTTGTTCTGGTAAGATTCAGGTAGGATTGGCGCTCATGGGAAATTTTAGAGGCTCCCTTCTCTGTCACTTTTGGCCTAACAGAATGAAACTTGGCACACATGTAGGACACATTTATGACAGCAAGCCTGCCAAGTTTCAGAACATTTCACCAATCCACTGATTTTTGGGAAGTTTCTGGCAAAAAGGGGCTTCTGGGAATTGGATCCAATGCCACAAGAGGGGAAAAGAATGGACAAGTCAACCAGGCCTCTGATTGGCTGAGAAAGAAAAGATTGCATTCCTAAATTATTGAAGTCTCAGCGTACCAGACTACCACCAAGCCGTGATTTTCTATCATAGAATCACAGAGTTGGAAGAGTAGCCAGATATTCCTGTATTTTTCCGAAATAATAACGATTTTAGAAGATAACGACTGTACCTACTAGGCTTGGGCGGTTTCGTTCGTTAATTTCGTAATTCGTTATTAATTCGTATTTAAATTAGCTTACGATCCACTATTGAGCCATGCAGGACTACTGTGAGGAGTAATTAAAAATCGAAACAATTTTTCCAATTTATTTCGTATTGTTTCGTAATTGTTTCGTAATTGGTTCAAAATTGGTTCGAAATTGTTTCGTAATTGTTTCGTAATTATTTCCGTATGTCTGGTGCAAGTTTTATAGTTGTTGTTTGTTTTATCAGTGATAAAAAATAAATTATCACACCAACAGTCAACAACAGAGGGAGAGGGAAGCTTCAGAAGTTCCCCCTGTCCCATTTGGAGGTTTTTTTAGCGTATTGCGCAATCGCGTCCGCCATTAACGAATCGATTCGTAATTTTACGAAATTTCGTAAATTTCGAATTTTTTAAAGGAAAATTTCGGAATTATTTAAAAAACGAAACGCAAGGGCCCCCTAAAAACAAAATGAGTTTAGAACCAAATTTTTCCATGGTTACCCAAGCTTAGTACCTACTAGGCCTGTGCGGTTTCGTTCGTTAATTCGTTATTTCGTTATTAATTCGTTATTTTTACCATTTCCAAAGCGATATTGAAACATATTTCCAAACCCGGAAGGGTTTTTAAATATCGAACCAGCAACCCCCAGAGTTTTAACGAGCCTCCGCTCGTTTCGTTAATGGGGTGGAGGCTGCTGGAGTGCTGGTGCATGGGAGCCAATCCGGCGCTCCCAAGCAGTGCACCATGGGTCCGTGGCTGTCCCTTTTTGATTGGCCGGCGAGCCCTTTCAAAGCGGCTCCGCGCGGCCCGTAGCTTGCTGCAGAGGGCGAGGGAGTTTGCATTGGGTTGGCTTGGCAATGGCTGCTAGCAACTGGGATTGGATTCATTCCTTGCTGCTGTGAGTGCTGCTTGCTTCATTTGCTGTCTCTTGCCTGTGTTTGGTCCACATTTGGGCCATTTTTTGGTTAATTTTCCATTTTAAAATATTTTTAATATTATTTTAATATTATTTTTTAATATTATTTTTAATATTATTTTTAATATTATTTTTTAATATTATTTTTTACTATTATTTTTTAAAAAAATATTCTAAAAAAGAAAAGACTCTTCTGTTGGTGTGTGCTCTCATTTGCTGTATCCTGCCTGTGTTTGGTCCACATTTGGGCCATTTTTTGGTTAATTTTCCATTTTAAAATATTTTTTAATATTATTTTAATATTATTTTTTAATATTATTCTTAAAAAATATTCTAAAAAAGAAAAGACTCTTCTGTTGGTGTGTGCTCTCATTTGCTGTGTCCTGTCTGTGTTTGGTCCACATTTGGGCCATTTTTTGGTTAATTTTCCATTTTAAAATATTTTTTAATATTATTTTAATATTATTCTTAAAAAATACCAAAAATATTCTAAAAATTCGTTAATATTTACAAAATTTCTTAAATACCAAAACTTTTTTTTGGAAAGTTTTGTAATTATTTTAAATATCGAAACAAAAAAACACCCCAATTACAAATCGATTTTAGAAACAAATTTTTTCTTGATCAAACAGGCCTAGTACCTACCCATGCCTAATGGTAATGTATGCATGGAGAATGAATGAATGAATGACTGAATGAGGAACATCTAGTCCAACCAAATATTTTTGTGCACACTCTTGATTTTGCATCTTTTCCATTCCGACTAGATGACCAAAATGCTCGACTTGCTGGAGGACTTTTTGGAATATGAAGGGTACAAATACGAGCGCATCGATGGCGGGATTACTGGAGGACTGAGGCAAGAAGCCATTGACCGGTTTAACGGTACTTTGCTTTGGCTTGAATTTCATTGGGTTTTCTAAGGCAAGGGATGCTCCGAAATAGAGCTTCCATGCCTTGGATGTGTTGACAGTCTCCCATCCAAGTCCAAAAAAGCTCTCCAGAATGTCCAAGTGTGGACGAACCCATGATCTGATGGGATATGATGCTTTTAGGGTATTGAGGATTTCACATTTTTTACGGACCCTTCATACTTCCTTGTCTCTTTTCCTTTCCTTCTTTTTTCTCATTCCCAGCTCCGGGAGCTCAGCAGTTTTGTTTCTTGCTTTCCACCCGGGCCGGCGGTTTGGGCATCAACCTCGCAACAGCAGATACCGTTGTTATTTATGATTCGGACTGGAACCCCCACAACGACATACAGGTTAATTCTAATTTCCCCTTTGTTTTCTCGACTCACCCTCTTCCTTTCACGCCTCTTCTTTACATTCTATTTATTTTATCATAAGGATAGTCTGGTTCAATTCCTCGTATTTTCTATTTCCCCTTTATCTTGGCTGCTGGCTCTTCCCATTCCCTTCCCATTTCCCCAAGGATATTTATATACATATTCCTATCCATAATGTAATTTTGGAGAATGCCCTCTGCTAAATATTCGTCCCATTTTTATACTCTCCATCCATCCAAAAGCTACAGACCAATCTCCCTGTTGTGCCACCTCTACAAAGTTCTGGAGAGACTTATTTTGCATAGAATTATGGAAAAAATAGACCCATGTCTGATTCCACAGCAAGCTGGCTTCAGAAAAGGCAAAAGCTGCACATCGCAAGTGCTGAACCTGACTCGGCACATAGAAGATGGCTTTGAAAGGCAGCAAATCACAGGAGCTGTCTTCATAGACCTGTCAGCAGCCTATGAGACTGTGAACCACCGCCTCCTCCTAAGAAAAAATGTATAATATCACAAAGGACGACCACCTCACCCGCCTCATAGGAAACCTGCTACAAAACAGGAGCTTTTTTGTTGAGTTCCAGGGCCAGAGAAGTAAATGGTGGAAACAGAAGAACGGCCTGCCTCAGGGGAGCGTGCTTGCTCCATCCATGTTCAATATCTACACACATGACCAGCCACTGCCAAAAGGGACAGAGAGTTTCATCTATTCAGATGATCGTGCCATTACCGCTCAAGCAGGGAGCTTTGAGATGGTTGGACAGAAGCTCTCCGAAGCTCTAGGTGCTCTTACTGCCTATTACAGGGAAAACCAGCTGATCCCTAATCCATCTAAAACACAGACATGTGCTTTTCATCTCAAGAACAGACAAGCATCCCGAGCTCTGAGGATCACCTGGGAAGGAATCCCACTGGAGCATTGCAGCGCACTCAAATACCTGGGAGTCACTCTGGACCGTGCTCTGACCTACAAGAAGCACTGCCTGAACATCAAACAAAAAGTGGGTGCTAGAAACAACATCATACGAAAGCTGACTGGCACAACCTGGGGATCACAACCAGACACAGTGAAGACGTCCGCCCATGTGCTATGCTACTCTGCTGCTGAGTACGCATGCTCAGTGTGGAACACATCTCACCACGCTGAACAGTGGATGTGGCTCTTAATGAGACATGCCTCATTATCACGGGGTGTCTGCGCCCTACACCACTGGAGAAGTTACACTGCTTAGCCGGTATTGCACCACCTGACATCCACCAGGAAGTAGCATCCACCAGGAATAGTGAAAGGACCAAGGCAGTGACATCTCCAGCTCACCCCCTGTTTGGGTATCAGCCAGCATGTCAACGACTTAAATCTAGAAATAGTTTTCTAAGATCTACAGAGACACTCACTGAAACACCTCAGCAAGCGAGAGTCCAAAAGTGGCAGGCTCAAACCCAGAGCTTCAATCAATGGCTGATACCCAATGATAGACTCCCCCCTGGGCACACAGAAGACTGGGCGACTTGGAAGGCGCTGAACAGACTACACTCTGGCACCACGAGATGCAGAGCCAACCTTAAAAATGGGGCCACAAAGTGGAATCCATGACATGCAAGTGTGGAGAAGAGCAAACTACAGACCACCTGCTGCAATGCACCCTGAGCACAATGGAAGACCTTCTTGTGGCAACACCAGAGGCACTCCAAGTGGCCAGATACTGGTCAAAGGACATTTAATCAACTACCAAGCTTGCAAAGTCTGTGTCTTTTGTATATTTGTTTGTTTGTTCTGTCAAAAATGTAATACAACAGTTCGGTTGCCTGACTCAATAAATAAATAAATGCTTCACTAACCCATCCCGCAACACAGTTGCCCCCTGCAACTTTAGCCCTTTCTTTGCCTCGCTCTCCCTAGGCCTTCAGCCGGGCGCACCGGATCGGCCAGAACAAGAAGGTGATGATCTACCGTTTCGTAACCCGGGCCTCAGTGGAGGAGCGCATCACACAGGTGGCCAAGCGTAAGATGATGCTGACCCACCTGGTGGTCCGGCCCGGGTTGGGCTCCAAGTCAGGATCCATGACCAAGCAGGAGCTGGACGACATCCTGAAATTCGGGACTGAGGAGCTCTTCAAGGATGACGTGGAGGGTAAGAGAGGGACGATAAAATGGGGATTAGGATTTGAATGCCTCGAATTGCAAACACGATGAACTCAACCAGTTCAATTTGTTGCAAGAATATCAGGGATGTCCCATACTGCCTGGTAGTTGAAGTTCTACAAGGTCTTTTCCTCTTCCAGCCATGATGTCTCAAGCCCAACGAATCGGCCTGCCAGAGGTGGTTAATCCTTTCGCCGAGGCACCGGCTTTGAAAGGAGGGGCAGCAACCCCTGGCATCAAGAAAAAACATGGTGGACCTCCACCGGGTATGTAAAACCATCCACTCGATTCGACAAGTTCCGACTATTGAAAATTCCATGTCTCTCTGCAGGTGTGTTAAGATTTCCGGGCAGTTTCTGTCTATGTAGTGCCTTCTCTAAGAATCTCTAGTCTTTCATCAACCTCCTATGCCAAGGACCTTGAGATTCGTAGAGAGAAAATATTAAATCTGAAAAGAACTATGACACCATTTAAAAAAATTCTCCAGCAGCATGCAAAAGAATGAGGAAGTACTCCATCGGTGTCCCAAGTGGACGGTGAAGCAACAGCTCCCCAGTGGCCAGAATTAAAAAAAGCATGCCCTCATGAAGCTGGAAAAGTTAAATAGCCTCTGTGTCTATATATGTTGTGTGTCTAGGTTGTTGAATGTTTACCAAGTATATGTGCATTGTGATCCGCCCTGAGTCCCCTGCAGAATGAGAAGGGCAGAATACAAATACTGTAAATAATAATAATAATAATAATAATAATACACAGGCCCTTATTTTTATCTTGAATGTTCCATTTGCAAGCAATTCTTAGCTTTCGTTGTTCCTTGTACACAGTGGCTTCTGTGAATTGTGTTTGGTAGCGGTCCACATGCCGAACGGCATAACGACAAAGCGAGAGTTGCATGAACCCAGCTCTAAATAATCATAATCATAATCATAATCATAATCATAATACACAGGCCTTTATTTTTATCTTGAATGTTCCATTTGCAAGCAATTCTTAGCTTTCATTGTTCCTTGTACACAGTGGCTTCTGTGAGTTGTGTTTGGTAGCGGTCCACATCCTGAACGGCATAACGGCAAGGCGAGAGTTGCATGAACCCCGCTCTAAATCTCCCCCTGGAAGTAATATAATGGGATCAGCTCTGTCTCTCTTATTTGCAGGCGACAACAAAGACGTGGAGGACATCAGCGTGATCCATTACGACGACGCGGCCATCTCCAAGCTCTTGGATCGCAACCAGGATGCCAGCGACGACACGGAGCTGCAGAACATGAACGAGTATCTCAGCTCTTTTAAAGTGGCCCAGTATGTTGTGAGAGAAGAGGACGGTGTGGTAATGTGCCCCGGCATCGTGGATTTCCTTTTGCCTTTTTCTCCATTCCATTGTCCGGTTACCAAAAAAAAAAGGTGCCTCCTTGCACCTTAATAACCCTTAAAACGGTTGTGTAGTCCCCCTCTATATGCTACTTTGGGTGCAGATTGTAGGAAATATGCAATTTGACACCACTTTAATTGCTATGGGATAACGAGAGCTATCTCTCACCATAAATATCCTCCAAATACAGAACTACAGAATCATATAATCTATATAAATAAAAATATAATGTTCATTTGTGGGATTAACATAACTCAAAAACCACTGGATGAATTGACACTGAAAAACACAGCGGAAGGGACTTAAAAAGCCAAAAAAGCAAAAAGATGCTACAGCGCATATGCAAAACAACTCCACCTGGCAAAGAAAACACACAATAGCATATCTTCCAGACTACAGCTCCCAGCATTCCCTAGACCAGGCCCTTTAGGAGAGGAGGAGGATCGAAACGCACTGCTTCCAAGATGCAAGCTTTCTTTTCCTGGGATTTATTTGAGAGCATCCCAATCCCTGCATATTTCCAATTTCCTATTCCTGGACTGCAACTCTCAGCAATCCCCCAAACAGGTAGATTAGATAGAGATAGATAGGTAGGTAGACAGATAGATCAGAAGGACTGCTGGGAGTTGCAGTCCAATAATAGGTAGAGAAAGAAGAAAGAGGGGAAAGAAGAAGGGAAAGAAAAAGGAAGGGAGGGAAGAGGAAGAGAACAAAGGAAGGAGAGAAGGAAAGGAAAAAGGGAAGGAAGGGAGGAAGGAAAGAGGGAAGGAAGGAAGGAGAGAAAGAAAGGAGAAAAAGAGGGAGGGAAGGTGGGCCATAGCAACACGTGGCAGGTACAGCTAGTTACAGAATAATAGAGTTGGAAGAGACCATGTGGACCATCTAGTCCAAGCCCCTGCCATGCAATAAAATCACAATCAAAGCACCCATGACAGATGGCCATCCAGCCTTTTTTAAATCTTCCAAAGAAGCAACTTCCACCAGACAGAGAGTTCCACTGTTGAACAGCTCGTACGGTCAGGAAGTTCTTCCTAATCTTCAGGTGGAATCTCCTTTACTGTGATTTGAACCCATTGCAAACAAAATAATCTCCGAAAGTGAGTAAACCCCGCTCGATTCCTTAGAAACAATTGGCTACTTTGGGTGCATCTGCACCGTCCTATTTATGCAGTTTAACCACATGTAACTGCTTGGATGGGATTAATGGGAGTGAGTTTTTCCTTATCTTGGAAATTCTGGAGAACTTTGTGTGCAAAATCCCATTTGGTTCCTTCTCACAGGAGGAGGTGGAGCGAGAAATCATCAAACAGGAGGAGAACGTGGATCCTGATTATTGGGAGAAGCTCCTACGGCACCATTACGAGCAGCAGCAGGAGGATCTCGCCCGCAACCTTGGGAAAGGGAAGCGCGTTCGGAAGCAGGTCAACTACAACGACACCTCGCAAGAGGACCAAGGTGATTGCAGGGAGGTCGAGGTCAAACGGGACAGCTGTTGCACTTGAGACCAAGAAAGCCCTCTGACTTTAAACACTACACAGCTGAGTAGAAATGCCATCTGTTTATTGAAGATATTTAAAAAACAGTAGCCGTAAAAAACAAAAACACTTTAAAAGAATAGGTAAAATCCAATTAGGTAGGAAGATAAGCCGGAACAAATAGTCCAGGAAATTAGTCCATCAAAGTTCATGAAAAACAAAGTCATTTTAATATCTTCTATAGTAACCTATAGTAAAACTGAAGAAGTGGAAACATGAATCAAAGGCACTTAACACATGCATCTATCCAAAGCAAGGCTTCCAAGGAACAGGAAAGAGATCTTGACTTGATTCCAAACAAGACTACACATCTTGTACTTGGGACTTTTATCTCCTAATTACGCTATGTCCCAAGCGGCCAGAAATGGGTTTCGTTTTAGCCTTGAATCCCTTATCATTCTTTCTTTGAGCCTGGCAGAACGCCTAAGCGACTGGTTAGCTTTTCTATTTTGACTCCTAATTACGCTATGTCCCAAGCAGCCAGAAATGGGTTTTGTTTTAGCCTTGAATCCCTTATCATTCTTTCTTTGAGCCTGGCAGAACGCCTAAGCGACTGGTTAGCTTTTCTATTTTGACTCCTAATTACTAGGGCTGGGCGGTTTCGTTTCGTAATTTTGTAATTCATTAAAAATTCGTTATTTTTTTTTGTTACGAAGTGATAACGAACCATTCAGGAGCATCTAAAAAACGAAACGAATTTTTCAATTCGTTTCATAATTGCTTCGTAATTGCTTCGTATTCGTTTCGTATTCGTTTCGAAATCGTTTCGTTATTATTTCCGCATGTCTGGGGCAAGTTTTATAGCTGTTGTTTGTTTAATCAGTGAAAAAAAATTATAAATATCACACCAACAGTCAACAGAGGGAGAGGGAAGCTTCAGAAGTTCCCCCTGTGCCATTTGGAGGTTTTTTAGCGTATTGCGCGGTCGCGTCCGCCATTAACGAATCGATTCGTATTCGGTTCGTATTCGTTTCGTATTCGTTTCGTAATGTTTCGTAATTTTACGAAATTTCGTAAATATCGAACTTGTTTAAAGAAAAATTTCGGAATTCTTTTAAATATCGAAACGCAAAAAACCCCAAAAAACGAATCGAGTTTAGAAACAAATTTTTCCGTGGTTGCCCAGCCCTACTAATTACACTATGTCCCAAGCAGCCAGAAACGGGTTTTGTTTTAGCCTTGAATCCCTTATCATTCTTCCTTTGAGCCTGGCAAAACGCCTAAGCAACTGGTTAGCTTTTGTATTTTGACTCCTAATTACACTATGTCCCAAGCAGCCAGAAATGGGTTTCGTTTTAGCCTTGAATCACTTATCATCCCGACTGCTTTGCTTTTCTATTCTGACTCCTAATTACGCTATGTCCCAAGCAGCCAGAAATGGGTTTCGTTTTAGCCTTGAATCCCTTATCATTCTTTCTTTGAGCATGGCAGAACGCCTAAGCGACTGGTTTGCTTTTCTATTCTGACTCCTAATTACGCTATGTCCCAAGCAGCCAGAAATGGGTTTCGTTTTAGCCTTAAATCCCTTATCATTCTTTCTTTGAGCATGGCAGAATGCCTAAGCGACTGGTTAGCTTTTCTATTTTGACTCCTAATTACTAGGCTTGGGTAACCACGGAAAAATTTGGTTCTAAACTCGTTTTGTTTTTAGGGGGCACTTGCATTTCGTTTTTTTTAATAATTTCGAAATTTTCCTTTTAAAAATTTTGAAATATACGAAATTTCATAAAATTACGAATCGATTCGTTAATGGCGGACGCAATTGTGCAATATGCTAAAAAAAACCTCCAAATGGGACAGGGGGAACTTCTGAAGCTTCCCTCTCCCTCTGTTGTTGACTGTTGGTGTGATAAAACAAACAACAACTATAAAACTTGCACCAGACATGCGAAAATAATTACGAAATAATTACGAAATAATTACGAAATAAATTGAAAAAATTGTTTCAAATCTTTATTACTCCTCACACAATTCCTGCATGGCTCAATATTGGGTAATAAGCTAATTTAAATACGAATTAATGATGAATTACAAAATTAACGAACAAAACCGCCCAAGCCTACTAATTACACTATGTCCCAAGCAGCCAGAAACGGGTTTTGTTTTAGCCTTGAATCCCTTATCATTCTTTCTTTGAGCATGGGAGAACACCTAAGCGACTGGTTTGCTTTCCTATTTTGACTAATAACATCCCGTCTATCTACTGGCTCATTAATTTCTGCAGCTGGCCCAGGTGTTGAGCTATTCTCAGGCTCCAAATCATGGGAATTCTCTGGTACCAATTCAGGGAGCACACCATCATCCCCAAACCCTTCAGGAACATTCTCATCAGAAGAGACACTTTGAACAGGAATCCCATCGTCATTCTCTGCATCAATAGCCACCTCATCATTGGAAACATCATGACCTACATGAACCTCATTGCCATCATTCCCAACATCCAAAGGACTCTGATACATAGGCTGAACTCCAACAACGGCAGCCGGATTTTCCCATACAGGGATTTCACCTCTTCTGAATCTTCCTTTCCAGAGTGGCAGGACGAACTTTCGGACAACCAGTCAGAGTACTCCATTGGCTCTGAAGACGAGGACGAGGACTTTGAGGAGCGGCCTGAAGGTCAGAGTGAGTAGGCCCTGCCCCTGACGGTCAGATCCAGGCTCCCTCACCTCAAAAAATAAGCTCTCTTTGAGGTCATAAACATGAACAAGTGACTATATCCCGGCTGTTGTCAGGACCAGCAAACATAGACTTAGAGTTAGCACCATTCCAATATTCTGCGCGCAATTACCCCATTAAGTCAAATTGCAGCAGACATTATACTTTTTTGCAATCTTTTCCCAAATTGGCCAGATGATCCAAACATCTTTTCTTCCTTCTTTCATTCAGTCCAGCGGAGTTGATTGCAGAGGACCATCGCTTCAATGCTGGTAGTCTTTGCTTCTTCCAGCACGCTGACATTTGTCTGCTTGTCTTCCCAAGAGATTTTCAGGACTTTTCAGAGGCAGCGCTGATGGAATCGTTCCAGGAGTTGCATGTGACGTCTGTAGACAGTCCATGTTTCGCAGGCATATAGCAGGGTTGGGAGGACAATAGCTTCATAAACAAGCACCTTGGTATCCCTACGGATGTCCCAGTCCTCAAATACCCTCTGCTTCATTCGGAAGAATGCTGCACTCGCAGAGCTCAGGCGGTGTTGTATTTCAGTGTCAGTGTTGACGTCTGTAGACAGTCCATTTCGCAGGCATATAGCAGGGTTGGGAGGACAATAGCTTTATAAACAAGCCCCTTGGTATCCCTATGTCCCGGTCCTCAAACACTCTCTGCTTCATTCGGGAAAATGCTGCGCTTGCAGAGCTCAGGCGGTGTTGTGTTTCAGTGTCAATGTTGACGTCTGTAGACAGTCCATGTTTTGCAGGCATAGAGCAGGGTTGGGAAGACAATAGCTTTATAAACAAACACCTTGGTATCCCTATTGATGTCCCAGTTCTCAAACACCCTCTGCTTCATTCGGAAGAATGCTGCACTTGCAGAGCTCAGACGGTGTTGTATTTCAGTGTCGACAACTGTAGACAGTCCACGTATTGCAGGTGTATAGCAGGGTTGGGAAGACAGTAGCTTTATAAACAAGCACTGTGCTCTCCCTATGGATGTCCCAGTCCTCAAACATTCTCGGCTTCATTTGGGAGAATGCTGCACTTGCAGAGCTCAGGCAGTGTTGTATTTCAGTGTCAATGTTGACATCTGTAGACAGTCCATAGCAGGGTTGGGAGGACAGTAGCTTTATAAACAAGCACTGTGGTCTCCTTATGGATGTCCCAGTCCTCAAACACTCTTGGCTTCATTTGGAAGAATGCTGCACTCGCAGAGCTCAGATGGTGTTGTATTTCAATGTTGACATCTGTAGACAGTAGGCTTGGGTAACCACGGAAAAATTTGGTTCTAAACTCATTTTGTTTTTAGGGGGCCCTTGCGTTTCGTTTTTTAAAATAATTCCGAAATTTTCCTTTTAAAAATTTCGAAATATACGAAATTTCGTATAATTACGAATCGATTCGTTAATGGCGGACACGATTGCGCAATATGCTAAAAAAAACCTCCAAATGGGACAGGAGGAACTTCTGAAGCTTCCCTCTCCCTCTGTTGTTGACTGTTGGTGTGATCAAACAAACAACAACTATAAAACTTGCACCAGGCGTGCGAAAATAATTACGAAATAATTACGAAATAATTTCACAATAATAACGAAATAATTACTAAATAAATTGAAAAAATTGTTTCGAATCTAATTTACTCCTCACACTATTCCTGCATGGCTCAATATTGGATCGTAAGCTAATTTAAATACGAATTAATAACGGATTACGAAATTAACGAACGAAACCGCCCAAGCCTAGTAGCTAGCTGTGCTCCACCCCAAATCCACACTTATGAAAGTCCCTAGGTGTCACCCTCTCCTTCAAAGGACCCCGGACCCCCCATTGACTTTGGGTTCTTCCAATCTCTTTTAGGTGGCCGGAGGCAATCCCGACGGCAACTGAAGAGTGACCGGGACAAGCCGCTCCCACCGTTGTTGGCACGAGTGGGGGGTAACATTGAGGTAATTAATTATTATTTTACTAGCTATACCTGCCACGCGTTGTGGCCAACCTTCTGTCTCTCTTTCTCTCCTCCTTTCTTTCTTTCTTTCTTTCTTTCTTTCTTTCTTTCTTTTCTTCTCTTCCTCTTCCCTTTCTTCCCTGCCTTTTTTCCCCTTACTCTTTCTCTCCTTTCTTCCTTCTCTACCTCTTTCTTTCCTTCTTCCATTCACTCTTTGCTTCCATCCTTCTCTTTCCTTCTTTGCTTCTCTCCCCCTTTCTCTCCATCGTTCCTTCTCTCCTTCCTTCCTTCCTTCCTTCCTTTCCTCCCTCTTTCCTTCCTTCCCCGCTGGATTCACCATTGTGCCATCTGTTCCTGTTCTGGCTGGAAGGAGGAGGATGGTCAACAGTCCCTCTCATGCTTGCTGTATAATTACACAAGAGGGTCAGGGCCATGGAATTTTTTTGCGTGTATGCGCTGTGTCATCTTCTAACATTTTTGGATTTTCAATTTTTTTCGCTGTTTCCCCCCCCCCCATGATTTTTTGAGTGATGACGACTCCTTAAGTTAGTAGGTGTCTTGTGTCCAAATTTGGTGTCAATTCACCCAGTAGTTTTTGGGTTCTGTTAATCCCACAAACAAACATGACATTTTTATTTATATAGTAGGCCTGGGTAACAACGGAAAAATTGGTTTCTAAAATCGATTTGTATTTGGGGGTTTTTTTTGTTTCGATATTTAAAATAATTACAAAATTTTCCTTTAAAAAAGTTCAATATTTACGAAATTTCGTAAATGGTAAAAAATTAACGAATCGATTTCCGAAACAATAACGAATCGATTCGTTAATGGTGGACGCGACCGCGAAATATGCTAAAAAACCTCCAAAACCTTCTGAAGCTTCCCTCTCCCTCTGTTGTTGACTGTTGGTGTGATATTATAATTTTTTTTCACTAATTAAACCATAAAACTGGCCCAGACATGCGGAAATAATAACGAAACGACTTCAAAACAATAACGAAACGAATACAATATCGAAATACGAAGCATTTGCAAAATGTTTTTGAAAATTCGTTTTTTTTTAATAATTGCTCCAGAATGGTTCGTTATCGTTTTGTAATTGAAAAAATTAACGAATTATTAACAAATTACGAATTAACGAAACGAAACCGCCCAGCCCTATTATATAGACTAGCTGTACCCAACACGCGTTGCTGTGGCCAACCTGCCCTCCCTCTTTCTTTCCTTCCTTCCCTCTTTCCTTCTTTTCCTCTATTTCTTTCCCTTCCTATTTCTCTTCTTTGTTCCATCTCTACCTGTTTCTCCCCCCCCCTTCTTTGCTCTTTGGTTGCATCCTTCCTTCTCTCTTTCCTTCCTTCCTTCCTTCCTTCCTTCCTTCCTTCCCTCCCTGTCTTTCGTTCCTTCTCTCCTTCTTTCCCTCTCTTTTTCCTTTCACTTTTTATTTCCTTCTCTCCTTCCTTGCTTCTCTATCTTTCTTTCTTTATTTCCTTTCTTCTTTCCCTCCCTCCTTGTCTCCTTCCTTCCTTCCCCATTTCCCTCCTTCATTCCTTCCCTCTTTCCCTCGTTACTTCTTGACTGTCCCTTCCATTTAATTTGTATTATATATATATCAGTAACATATATAGTAATCTATATAACAATATATAAAATATTTATATCTTATTTATTTATTTATTTACTTTATTTTTATACCGCATTTTTCAGCCTAATTCGGCGACTCAATGCGGTTTCTTACATAGAAAGAAGGAGAGGAAGAAGGAAGGAAGGAAGGAAGGAAGGAGGGAAAGAAGGGAAGGAAAAGAAAGAAGGAGGGACAGGAAGGAAGGAAGGAAGGGAAAGGAAAGGGGGGATGAAGAAAGGAGGGAGGGAAGGAAATGAAGGGGAAGGAAATAAAGGGAAAGAAGGAGGAAAGGAGGGAGGAAGAAGGAAAGGAAAGGAAGAGAAGGAGGGAACAGGAAGGAAGGGAAGGAGAAAAGAAAGAAGAAGGAGAAGGAAGGAGGGAGGACAGGAAGGAGGAGGAGGGGAGGAAAGGAAGAAGGAAGAAAAGGAAAGAAGGGAGGAGGAAAGAAGGAGGAAGAAGAAAGGAGGGACAGGAAGGAAGGGAAGGAGGGAAAGAAGGAAAGGAAGGAGAAGGAAGGAGGGAGGGACAGGAAGGAAGGAGGAGGGGAGGAAAGGAAGGGGAAGGAAGGAAGAAAAGGAAAGAAAGGGAGGGAGGAAAGAAGGGAAGGGAGTCCTTTCGGGTGGAGTGTGGCAGAGGCAGCTACCTCCTCTGTGTGTGTGTGTGTGTGTGTTAAATGTGTGCTCGTGTTGCCGGAGACAGGCGAGTAAGTTAGTCAGAAAGGAAAAAGTTAAAAAAGAAAGAAGCGTCTACTGAAAGTCCCTCCCCCACCCGCAGGTCTCTTCCAACAGGGAAAGGTGGAGGAAGAGGAGGAGGAGACTGCCATCCTGGCAGAGCAGGGAAAGAGAAGGGGCTCCATGCGGCAAGCCTCCCCCTCCACTCCCATGGTGCCCACTCTCGCTTGTGTGTGTGTGTGTGTGTGTGTGTGTGGCCATGCACTTGCGCCTGGCTCCTCAAGCTTTAACGGCCACCTGTTTCCCCACGAGGAGGAGGGGGCGTGGCCATGGATCTCTGCATGTTCTTTGTGGACATGCAGTTCAGAAGTCCTTTCTGCTTTTTGTTTTTGTGGGGTTTTTTTTAGTGGAGAACATACATTGGGTTGTTAGGTGTATCGTGTCCAAATATGGTGCCAATTCATCCAGGGGTTTTTGAGTTCTGTGAATACCACAAACGAACGTTACGTTTTTATTTATATAGATTTACAATATTTCTATCCCGCCTTTCTCAAACCTGAAGATGCCTCAAGGTGGCCGCTCGATGCCTTGCTTTGCTCTATCTCTGGTCTAGAGGAGCCCCATTATAAAGTTTGGATCAGAAACCAGAGCAGATTGGCCCCCGCCTCATTGCTGTACCTTCTGTCTTTTTTTGCAGGTTCTGGGTTTCAACGCCCGGCAGCGCAAGGCCTTCCTGAATGCCATCATGCGATGGGGAATGCCTCCCCAGGACGCCTTCAACTCCCACTGGCTGGTGCGGGACCTGCGGGGGAAAAGCGAGAAGGAGTTTCGGTACCGGAAAGCCCCACCGCCTTTCTAGATTACCAGTTGAAACAGTTGGGAGGGAACCCCAAGGGTCATCTAGTCCAATCCCATTCTGAATGCTGACCTTTGCCACACACGGTTTAGTAAACACACAGATTCAGGTTTTCATCCAAAAATATATATATCAGGAGACTGTAATCTTCACCGTTGTGCTATTTCCAGCATATGCAGATCTACAATCAGATTCGTACTTACAAACGATCCTCAGAGAGTCACACACAGAGAGATACTCCCTTATTGACTTGTCAGTAAGGGACAAATGTTTGATGCAACCTCTTGTCATAAAGCTCACATGATTATGACTCAGCCACTTCTAGGTGTGTCATCATGACTTTCTCAGGTGTGATCGCATGTCCATCAGAACTGTATTTTCACATAGATTCAATGCTGATGCATCTCTATTAGGGCTGGGTAACAATGGAAAAATTTGTTTCTAAACTCGTTTCGTTTTTAGGGGGTCCATTGCGTTTCGTTTTTTATAGAATTCCGAATTTTTTTCTTTAAAGAAGTTCAAAATTTACAAAATTTCGTAAATTTCAAATTGATTCGTTAATGGCGGACGCGATTGCGCAATATGCTAAAAAAACCTCCAAATGGGACAGGGGGAACTTCTGAAGCTTCCCTCTCCCTCTGTTGTTGACTGTTGGTGTGATAAAACAAACAACAACTATATTATATTATATTATATTATTATATATAATATTATATTATTATAATATTATTATATTATATATTATTATATATTATATTATATTATTATAATATTATTATATTATATATTATTGTATATTATATTATTATATATTATATTATTATATATTATATTATTATAATATATTGTATTATATATTATATATTATTATATTACGAAAATAATTACGAAATAATTACAAAAATTGGAAAAATTGTTTCGATTCTTAATTACTCCTCACACTATTCCAAAATGCCTCAATATCGGATCGTAAGCTAATTTAAATATGAATTAATAACGAATTCCGAAATTAACGAACGAAACCGCCCAAGCCTACTATTTCCAGCATATGCACATCCACAATCAGATTCGTACTTACAAACGATCGTCAGAGAGTCACACACAGAGAGATACTCCCTTTTTATAACTTGTCATCAGTAAGGGACAAATATTTGATGCAACTTCTTGTCATAAAGCTTACATGATTCTGACTCAGCCACTTCTAGGTATGTCATCATGACATTCTCAGGTGTGATCACATGTCCATCAGAATTGTATTTTCACATAGATTCAATGCTGAGGCATCTCTATCTAACGCAATGCCCATCCAATCCCTGCTTAAAGATCTCCAAAGAAGGAGACTCCTATCACCCTCCAAGGCAATCCATCCCCCTGTTGAACCATTCCTAGGGCCAAGGAGTTCTTCCTAATGTTTAGCTGGAACTCTTTTCTTGTATTTTCAACCTGTCAAGGTCAGACGCCAGCCAATTAAAGAAGTATAATTTATTTCTCAAACAAACACAAAACAGCCCAAAACAAAACCACAGGGCAAAAAACACTTAGTCTTCAGTGTGAAATAGTTCAAAAAAGGCAAAAGAACCCACAAAACACCAACCGGAATATAACCTGGATTATCCAGAGATATAATCCGGGTTAAACACAAAATTCTTAATTCAGCTCTAACTTGCTCAGACAAATAACAGAAGCAGAACAAACTGTAGAATGGTGTTCACAGCCACTCTAATAAGCAGCAGCTTTTCAAGGGTTGCAAAATGTAACCCGAGCCTCAAACACTGTAGGAAACGCCACGCTGAACTCCGAGGCTGGAATGCAGGAATGCAGGGAGAATGATAACACCAACTCCAGAAACATAGCCGCAGAGGTGGAAGGGAGAGTAACGCCGATAGTTGAAGTCCAGTCCAGTCCAGTCTGAAGGGAAACAAATAGCTGCAAGGTCAGGTCCCGATCCAATGGAAGTCACAAGGAGCCAAAGCAACGGGGGCAATACGGCTCATGCAAATATCAAAGCAGTGCAGTCCAGCAGAAACCCACACAGTTCCAGCCCCCTTTGCTACTTAAACCCAGAGCATAACTTACATCCCAAAGTCTTCTTCCAAACCCGTCTTCTGTAACACAACGATCCAGAAAGCACCCAATAAGACACCTTACCGATTGCAAACACTCCCATTTTATCTACAGTGGAGAGGAGGAGGAAGAGGAAGGTAAAGAGGGCAAGGAGGGAAGAAGAGCTGCCCCTTCGCCCTCTTTACCTTCTGCTTCCTCGCCACCACTGGGGCCTCTTGCTGCAGAGGCGGCGCAGGGCCCAAGTGGCAGCAAGAGGCCCAGGTGGCAACAAGGAGGATGAGGAGGAAGAAGAGGAAGGTAAAGAGGGTGAAGGAGCGGCTTTTCTTCCCTCCTTGCCCTCTTTACCTTCCTCTTCCTCCTCGTCACCAGCAGCAAGAGGCTCCAGCGGCGGAGAGGAGTAGGAAGAGGAAGGTAAAGAGGAGGCGGCTCATCTTCCCTCCTCACTACAGTGTTCCCTCTCTATGTATATATATATATATATATATATATATATATATATATATATATCCCACGAAACAGCGAGTCCGCGGTAAGTGAACCGCAAAATAGCGAGGGAACACTGTATTCTTCACTCCCGTTTTCCTTGCATGTACATTTCTATTAACTATTACTATTCGCAAATTTAACATTCTATTGATTTCTCCTTCAATCATTCGCTAGTATTCTTGAACTCGATTGCATTCCCATATCATGTGATTAATCTTCCTCCTTGAGATTTTACCAATCTCAAGATTTGTAAAGAAAACAAAACATGAAAGTTGTGCAGGAGTTCTGTACCATTTTTGTAACATTTTCCTTCTTGCTTCCCTTAATACATTGTACTTTTCTATTGCTTATTTCCCTTTGGATGTCAACAAAATTCTTTCTTAACCTTCTTTGGCTTTCTTAGCAAAATTCCGTTCTTTTCCGCTCTCGTCCCACCGCCTTGTTTCCTCTGCAGAGCCTATGTCTCCCTGTTCATGCGCCATTTGTGCGAGCCAGGAGCGGATGGTGCCGAGACCTTTGCGGATGGCGTTCCCCGGGAAGGGCTGTCACGCCAACACGTCCTGACCCGCATTGGTGTCATGTCACTGGTCCGGAAGAAGGTGGGTGAGACCTTGGCATGCAGGTTCCATATTGCACAATTTATTACGCTCAAGAGATCAGAAAAACAACAACAAATAGAACCGAATAAACAATATCGATAACAAAGTCACTGTTGTATTTCAGCCTCTGATTGTGTCTAATGATTGGGTTGCTTTGGATGATGGGAATTACAATGTTGTGTCTAATGAGCTGGTTGTTTTGGATGGTGAAAATTATTTTATTTATTTTATTAACAGCTTTTATATTCCACCCTTCTCACCCCGCAGGGGACTCAGGGCGGATTACAGTGTACACATATATGGCAAACATTTAATGCCAATTTTTTACATACAAACATATACAGACATACACAAAGGCTATTTAACTTTTTCTGGCTGCCAGGGGAGCTGTCGCTTTCATCGTCCATCTGTGACGCTGATGAAGTACTTCCGCATTCCCCGCATGCTTCCCCGCTGGAATGCTTTGCTGGAGTCTTCTTTGTGGCCTCATAAATGACAATGTTTTCCATGTTCAAGTTGATTCCTCTGATGGGGATGTTGGTCTGTTTTCTGGGCCTGGTTTTATAGATGTGGGGCCCCAAATGCAGTTCAGTTGCTGCAAAGGGATTCTCGTGGTCTTGAGCCTGGGAAAGGCTCTTCCCTGGTCGGTTATCTCCAGGTGCAGATTTTAATGAAACGAGTTCCCATTCTCACTCCCATTGAAGATTTGTGCCGAACAGACCAATGCAAAATTGGACCATTTGTGCATTCTATATATGGATGATTGGTTGGTAGCTTTAAAATGTTCCTTTAGGGTACCTCTTCCCAACCTCCATTTGCTGATTGGATTTGGATTGGTCTTGTGCCTCAGGTTTCCATCTTACATCCCTTTCACTTCACTTTATTTTACATCCCTTTCCCCCTCTTTCTCCCAGGTTCAAGAGTTTGAGCCCGTGAACGGGAAATATAGTACTCCAGACCATATTCCTGAAGGCTCGGAGATCAAGAAGTGTGGTGAAACACCCTCTTCGGACCCAAATACCCCCGTCCCAGCTAGTCCAGCTCATGTCCAAACGGGAGCCGCGATTCAGCCAGGTAGTCAAAGAAGATTTACATTAGGCTATACAATAGTTCGCATTGGAATTGAACCAGACTTGGCACACAGGACTCCCATGACCCACAGAAAACACTAGAAGGGTTTGGTGGGCATTGACATTGAGTTTTGGAGTTGTAGTTCACATCCAGAGAGCACTGTGGAGCACTGTGGAGAGAGCATCTAGAGGCTATACAATAGTCTGCATTGAGGGTATATGCAAAATGAATAAGGCTTTGAGGACTGTAAGAAAACAACTTGGATACTAAGGGTGTGAAAAATTATCATTATTCCTTGTAAGTCAGTGTTTCTCAACCTGGGGGTCGGGACTCCTGTGGGGGGTCGTGAGGTGGGTTTCAGGGGGGTCACCAAAGACCATCAGAAAACACATATTTCTGATGGTCTTAGGAACCCTTTTGGCAGAGAAGGCTGAAGATCTCTCTGCCTATTCTTCTCTTCCTTTTTGGTGTTGGTGAACTACAACTCCCAGAATCCAAAAACAGTTCTCCCCAACCCCACCCAATGTTGGCCATGTAGGTAGTATGCCATGTTTGCTGCAGATCCATTGTGAGCTGGATTCAGAGAGCTCTTTGATTGTGGGTGAATTATAAACCCCAGCAAAATGTCAATGTCTGTTTTCCCAAAATTCCATCAGTGTTCACATTTGGGCATATTGAGTATCCGTGCCAAGTTTGGTCCAGATCCATCATTGTTTGAGTCCACAGTGCTCTCTGGATGTGAACTACAACTCCAAAACTCAAGGTCAATGCCCACCAAACCCTTCTAGTGTTTTCTGTGTGTCATGGGAGTCCTGTGTGCCAAGTCTGGTTCAATTCCATCATTGGTGGAGTTCAGAATGCTCTTTGATTGTAGGTGAACCATAAATCCCAGGAACTACAATTCCCAAATGAAAAAATCTATGTTTTTGAGTGATGGTCACTCCTTGGGTTAGTAAGCGTCTTGTGGCCAAATTTGGCAGCAATTTGTCCATTGGTTTTTGAGTTATGGTGTCACTCAAAACGAACAGACCATTTATATATATAGATGTTAATTTTGAGCTCCACCACATGCATTTTCATTCTTTTCCGTAGTTTCGGACAAAGCAGAAGCGCAACCGGGGCTTTCCGAAGAGAAGGAACAAAGTGAACCATGGGCCAAGAAGGACAACCAGGTAAAGTTCCATGCAAAAATCAAGTCTCACTTGAATTAACTTCCTGTATTGACATCCAAGACTACGCATGGTTTTGGCATCTGTTGAAAACCCATGTGATTCCGCACTAGGACATGGGTATTGGCACAAACTGAAAATCACAACCAAATTGACTTTCTATATTTGCAATTTAAGTCTTTTCAAATTTTGAGGTTGTCGGCTTCAGCGCCGGGAGATCTGAGCATCCCTTGTACGCATACTGTGTTAGAATCCTTTCGAAATCTAGGTGTTACCTGTGTTGGAAACTTGATTCGTGGGGCAGAAACAGGTCAGGTTTTGCATTGTGTTCAGGCACCAGGGAATGGCGAAAAGATAGAGGAGAAGGACGTGGTAGCGGCGGCAGAGAGCCAAGCAAAATCCGGAGAGGAAAGCACCACCGCGGAGAGGACAGAGGCCTTGGCAGAGCCGCCGGTGCAAGGTAAGTTTCATGCAAAAGTACAAAGTCGAACTTATTAAAGAAGGAGACTTTCTGGTCTTTGTAAACCCACGGATGTATCCTAACTATTGAATATTGGTGTCATAGAAAAATCCATTCTTTAGCATGTGCTAGGAAAAGTTAGAAGACGTTAAGGCATAGATATATAAAAGTATAGTAGCTCGCTAGTCTACCATATGTGCGATTTCCACAGGGACCACGATGGAGAAGTATGGTAATAGGTAACCATGTTTTTCCGTGCGGTCACCTGTGGAATTTGCACATCCCCACACATCCTCCCCGCTGTTGTCATGCCTTGGTCCTTCTGTCTGCCATGCGCGACGGAAGAACTGAAGCATAGTCCCTCCCACGGGCTATATATACTCTCAAGGGGAGAGTGGGCGGGGCTACCACCAAAAAGTTTTAAATATTATTCTGCGCAGGTGCAGAAAATAATGCATAGATATATAAAATCCTAGAGTAGAGACCTTCCAGTCAAGTTAACGTAATATCCAGAGATTGGAACTACAGTGTTCCCTCACTTATTGTGGTTGTTACGTTCCAAAACACCTGTGATAAGTGAAATTCCGCAAAGTAGGGACGCCCCCTCCCTTGTCCTCTTTACTTTTCTCTTCCTTCTCCTCGTCGTCACCTGAGCCTCTTGCCACCACTTCTGTAGCGATTGAGGAGGCAGTGGAGGCGTTGCGGGGCCCCAGTGGTGGCGAGGAGGAGGAAGAGGAAGGCAAAGAGGGCAAGGGAGTGGTTCTTCCCTCCTCACCTTCTTTACGTTCCTCTTCCTTCTCCTCCTTGTTGCCTGGGCCTCTTGCCACCGGTTCTGGAGCAATTGGTGGTGGCAAGGAGGAGGAAGAGGAAGGCAAAGAGGGTGGGGGGGGGGAGCAGCTCTTCCTTCCTTGCCCTCTTTACCTTCCTCTTCCTTCTCCTCGTCATCACCTGTGCCTCTTACCATCGCTTCTGGAGCAATTGAAGAGGCAGCGGAGGTGTTGCAGGGTCCCGGTGGTGGCAAGGAGGAGGAAGAAGAAGGCAAAGAAGGTGAGGGAGTGGCTCTTCTTTCCTCCTTGCTCTCTTTACCTTCCTATTCCTTCTCCTCGTCACCTGCACCTCTTGCCACCACTTCTGGAGCAATTGAGGAGGCAGCGGAGACGTCGTGGGGCCCCAGTGGTGGCAACGAGGAGGAAGAAGAAGGCAAAAAGGGTGAGGGAGCGGCTCTTCTTCCCTCCTTGCCCTCTTTACCTTTCTCTTCCTCCTCCTCGTCACCTCCTTTCCCGCCAACAGGGTCAGCTCCGGCACCGTGGCTTCTGCTGCTCCAAGTGGCGGCAGGAGGCCCAGGCGGCACCGAGAAGGCGAAGGAAGGTAAAGAGGGCGAGGAGAGAAGAAGAGCCCTCTTTACCTTCCTCTTCCCCATCTCTTCTTCCCTCCTTGCCCTCTTTACCTTCCTCTTCCCCGTCTCTTCTTCCCTCCTTGCCCTCGTTACCTTCCTCTTCCCCGTCTCTTCTTCCCTCCTTGCCCTCTTTACCTTCCTCTTCACCGTCTCTTTTTCCCTCCTTGCCCTCTTTACCTTCCTCTTCACCATCTCTTCTTCCCTCCTTGCCCTTTTTAGCTTCCTATTCCTCCTTCTCATCACCACCTGGGCCACTTGGAGCAGCAGCAGCCACAGCGGCCAGGCCAGGCCTGTTGTCGGGAAAGGTTACCGTTGGTGGCTGCCCTCCTTGATGGCGGAAGGGGTAGGGAAGAGCCAAAAAGCCGATCGAAGAGGTGGTGGAGGCCCAGGCAGTGACAAGTTTCCTCTCTCTCTCTCTTTCTCAGTGTTCCCTCAGTACTTAAAGTCATATTTTTTTTAAAAAACCGCAAAACAGAGTCCGCGAAAAAGCAAACCGCGGAGTAGCGAGGGAACACTGTACTGATAAGAGAGGTATAAACCATCATGCGCAAGCTATGTGTCTTTTAGGGCTGGGCGGTTTCGTTTCGTAATTTCGTAATTCGTTAAAAATTCGTTATTTTTTTATAACGAAGCGATATTGAACCATTCAGGAGCATCTAAAAACGAAACGAATTTTTCAATTCGTTTCGTAATTGCTTCGTATTCGTTTCGTATTCGTTTCGAAATCGTTTCGAAATCGTTTCGTTATTATTTCCGCATGTCTGGGGCAAGTTTTACAGCTGTTGTTTGTTTAATTAGTGAAAAAAAATATAAATATCACACTAACAGTCAACAACAGAGAGAGAGGGAAGCTTCAAAAGTTCCCCCTGTCCCATATGGAGGTTTTTTAGCGTATTGCGCGGTCGCGTCCGCCATTAACGAATCGATTCGTATTCGTTTCGAAATCGTTTCGTAATTGTTTCGTAATTTACGAAATTTCGTAAATATCGAACTTTTTTAAAGAAAAATTTCGGAATTCATTTAAATATCGAAACGCAAAAAACCCCAAAAAACGAATCGAGTTTAGAAACAAATTTTTCCGTGGTTGCCCAGCCCTAGCGTCTTTCTCTTTACTCACGACCTTGTGCTGTGAGTAACTCTTGTATATATGCTGTGTGTAAATAAAGTAATTAGCCACTCAGCTGAGCTGAACTGATTTATTGATGAGCCAACAAAGGCGGAGAGGAGGATAAATCATGTGGGAAAGGAGTGTGTTTTACTCCTGGCCATCAGGGAGAAGTTTTGGTGACATCTCTTGTCCGTATCACTGACACTAACAAGGGCTTTGTTTTCCACACTGCCGGTCCCACAGACAAAACTGCTCTGGAGAAGGAAAAAAATCCTGTGGAAAAGCCAGACCTGAATGCCGACAAAGACAGCAAGCCAGGTACATGTCTCCTCTCTCCGCACTCTTGACGTGCTCCGGTTGCAAAGGGTCAGATTGCATTCCCAGCAAATCTGCCTTTCTGTGAATACAAGGCCTGTGCAATCAATGAAAAAAAACCTATTTATTTTATTTATTTATTTACTACGCTTATATACCGCAATTCTCAGCCTACTGGCGACTCATTGCGGTGTACAACATAGAAAAACAGGTGCAAAATACAACATAAAATAAAATAATCCACAGTACATAATTATCAAACATCTCATCAAAAACATAACCTTACTACAAAACCATTCCGAGTCGTCTCATCGTCAAATTCACAATCCGATACCATTTCCGTTGTTCCATTCCTATGGTCAAGTTACCAGTCATTGCACTTCTATTCAAAAGCCTTCTTAAACAACCAGATCTTCAGCTTCCTGCGGAAGATCAACAGGGAGGGGGCTAACCTGATGTCTACGGGAAGGGTGTTCCACAGCCGAGGAGCCACCACCGAGAAGGCCCTATCTCTCGTCCCCGCCAGCCGTGCCTGTGACGCAGGCGGGATCGAGAGCAGGGCCTCCCCGGAAGATCTCAAAGTCCTCGTGGGCTCATAGGCCGAGAGGCGGTCAGTTAGGTATCTTGGGCCGGAACCGTTTAGGGCTTTATAGGCCAATGCCAGCACCTTGAATTGAGCCTGGTAGCAGATCGGCAGCCAGTGGAGCTGGTACAGCAGGGGGGTTGTATGCTCCCTGCGTCCCGCTCCTGTTAGTATCATGGCTGCCGCACGTTGGACCAGTTGGAGCTTCCGGGCCGTCTTCAAAGGCAACCCCACGTAGAGAGCATTGCAGTAGTCTAAACGGGATGTAACCAGAGCGTGGACTACCGTGGCCAAGTCAGACTTCCCAAGGTACGGGCGCAGCTGGCGCACGAGCCTAAGCTGTGCAAATGCTTCCCTGGTCACCGCCGAAACCTGGGGTTCCAGGCTCAGTGATGAGTCCAGGATCACACCCAAGCTGCAAACCTGCGTCTTCAGGGGGAGTGCGGCCCCATCCAACACAGGCTGTAACCCTATGCCCTGTTCGGCCTTGCGACTGACCAGGAGAACCTCTGTCTTGTCTGGATTCAATTTCAATTTGTTCGCCCTCATCCAGACCGTTACAGCGGCCAGGCACCTACTAAATTAGGGGGTGTGGAGAGAAAAATGGTTCTAAAGTATTTCCAAAATTGGATGTGGTCCGTATCATAACTATAATGAAGTAATTACTTTTTCATTAAATGGGCCAATGAGGAAACTTCAGAAAGGTTCGTTCATCGTTAGAGCTATGGGCATAGAACTTACTACAATTATAGAACACATTTACCACGGTGAGACCACCAAGTTTTAGAAAGTTTTACTCATCCATTGATTTTTGGGTAATATTTTTAAAGGTTTATGAATATTTTTAAAAAAACTACAAGAGGTATCTTGAATTTTTGTTATAGGGGATCCTTCCAAGGTTATTTATTTATTTATTTATTTATGCACTTGTATACCGCTAATATCTCAGCCTAAAACGGCGACTCATTGCGGTTTACAACACTTAAAAACAACAATATTCAATTTAAAATCATAAAACACATATACAGTACACAGTATCGGGCCACCAATACAGACCAATGCATCTCTTAATTAAAATCATAATCCAATTTCGTCGTCTATAATTACCAGTCCTTGATCATCAACTCCATCGCACCGGATTAACCGAATGCTTGTTCAAACATCCATGTCTTTAATTTTTTCCGAAATACCATCAGCGAGGAAGCTGATCTTATCTCTATGGGGAGGGCATTCCAAAGCCGAGGGGCCACCACAGAAAAGGCCCTGTCTCTCGTTCCCGCCAGCCGCACCTGTGAAGCAGGCGGGATAGAGAGCAGGGCCTCCCCAGAAGATCTTAGGGTCCTGGTGGGCTGATAGGCCGAGATACGTTTGGATAGGTAGGTTGGGCCAGAACCGTTTAGGGCTTTAAAGGCCAACGCCAGCACTTTGAATTGAGCCCGGTAGCAAATCGGCAGCCAGTGGAGCTGGTGCAGCAGAGGAGTTGTATGCTCCCTGCGCCCCGCTCCTGTTAGTATCATGGCTGCCGCCCGTTGGACTAATTGGAGCTTCCGGGCTGTCTTCAAAGGCAACCCCACGTAGAGAGCGTTGCAGTAGTCAAGACGGGATGTAACCAGAGCGTGGACTACCGTGGCCAAGTCAGACTTCCCAAGGTACGGTCGCAGTTGGCGCACAAGTTTTAACTGTGCAAATGCTCCCCTGGTCACCGCCGAGACCTGGGGATCCAGGCTCAGCGATGAGTCCAAGATCACACCCAAACTGCGAACCTGTGTCTTCAGGGGGAGTGCGACCCCGTCTAACACAGGCTGTAACCCTATACCCTGTTCGGCCTTGCGACTGACCAGGAGCACCTCTGTCTTGTCTGGATTCAATTTCAATTTGTTCGCCCCCATCCAGACCGTCACAGCGGCCAAGCACCGGTTCAGGACCTCGACAGCTCCTTAGTAGCAGGTGGAAAGGAGTGACAGAGTTGGACATCATCTGCGTACAGATGACATCGCACTCCGAAACTCCGGATGATCTCGCCCAGCGGCTTCATGTAGATGTTAAACAACATGGGAGACAGTATTGAACCCTGAGGAACCCCGCAAGACAAAGGTTGTGGGGTTGAACAGGAGTCTCCCAGTAACACCTTCTGAGACCGACCCTCGAGGAATGACCGGAGCCACTGCAGAACAGTACCTCCGAGACCCATTCCCGCGAGGCGTCCCAGAAGGATACCGTGGTCGACGGTATCGAAGGCCGCTGAGAGGTCGAGTAGCACCAGCAGGGACACACTCCCCCTGTCGAGCTCCCGACGCAGATCATCCACTAAGGCGACCAAGGCTGTCTCGGTACCATGCCCCGGCCTAAAGCCAGACTGTGCCGGATCCAGATAATCCGTGTCTACCAAGAATGCCTGGAGTTGTGAGGCCACCACACGTTCCATGACTTTGCCCAAGAAGGGGAGATTGGAAACAGGCCGATAGTTAACGAATTGAGTGGGGTCCAGTGATGGTTTCTTCAACAGCGGTTTTATTACAGCTTGCTTTAAGCTGGCTGGAATTTTGCCCTCCCGAAGGGAGGCATTAACCACCACCTTCACCCACTCGGCCAATCCCCCTCTGGCCTCTTTCAGAAGCCAGGATGGGCAGGGGTCTAGGATGCATGTGGTAGCTCTCATTCCTCCAAGCACCTTGTCCACATCCTCGGATTGAACCAATTGAAATGAATCCATCAAAATCGGACAAGCAGATGCTCGTGTTACATCCTCAGAGACTGCCGTTAATATGGTGTCCAGTCCAGAGCGGATCAAAGTGACTTTGTCTGCAAAGAACTGAGCAAGGGCTTCACAGCGAGCTGCCGAGTCATCAGGGCACCCATCCTGAATGGTGGGTTTTAACAGGCCTCTGACAACTCGAAACAGTTCAGCCGGACGGTTCTTTGCAGACGCAATAGTGGCCGCAAAGAAAGTCTTATTTGCGGCTTTTATTGCCGCGGCATATGCCCTTAAAAAGGACACAAACCGTGTTCGATTTGGCTCGCTCGGATCCGAACGCCACACGCTCTCTAGTTCCCTCTTCTTTCGCTTCAACGCTGCCAGCTCCTCAGTAAACCAAGGAGCTGGTTTAGCTCGGCTACTTGAGAGGGGACGTTCTGGAGCGATCGTGTCTATTGCCCTAGTCATCTCCCCATTCCAGAGAGCGACCAGGGCATCAACAGGATCACCAACCGAGGTGGCGGGAAATTCCCCAAGAGCCGTCAGGAATCCATCCGGATCCATAAGCCTCCTGGGGCGGACCAGTTTAATAGGTCCTCCACCTCTGCGGAGGTTAGGGGGTGCAGTTAGTCTAAAGCTGACCAGGTGGTGGTCGGTCCATGGCAACGGAGAGATGGTTAACTCCTCAATACCGCCACCTTCCTCCCATCCCTGACAGAAAACCAGATCCAATGTATGTCCAGCACTGTGGGTGGGGCCAGATACCTGTTGGGACAGCCCCATGGTTGCCATGGTGGACATGAAGTCCTGAGCCGCTCCCGATAAGGCGGTCTCGGCGTGGACATTGAAGTCCCCCAGCACAAGTAGCCGCTGGGACTCCAATGCCAGGTCCGAGACCACCCCCGCTAGCTCAGGCAGGGAGACTGTAGTGCAGCGAGGTGGACGGTACAAACAGAATCCCTAATCTGTCCCGGTCACCCACCCTCAGGTGGACGCATTCAAAATTTGTTGACTGCGGGATGGGGGCCCTGGTCAGAAGAATGGAATCTCTATAGACCACTGCAACTCCGCCTCCCCGCCCTCCGGATCTCGGTTGGTGCTGCACAGAGAAACCCGGTGGACAAAGCTGGGTCAAATTTACACCTCCCGCTTCGTCCAACCAGGTCTCTGTGATGCACGCCAGATCTGCCCGTTCATCCAGGATTAAATCCTGGATGAAAGTTGTTTTACCATTGACAGATCTGGCGTTCAACAGCACCACTTTCAATCCGGAGGGACCGCCATCCTGGTTACACCAACTTACCGTATCAGGAGACCGCTTTGGAATTACTAATGTTGTTCCACGTTCCCTAGGCCGAATTAAAGGTCTCCCTTTCCCGTATCTCCCCCTCCCCACCACGACTTCTATGGGGGCTCCCCGGTTAACGGAAGCCTCTCCCTCCTCCATGACGCATTCAACAGCCATAGTATCAACCCATAATTCATTGTTGACTGTTTGATATGTTACAGCTTCAGGTTGCCATGGCTTCGCCTTCCAGTTGTTTCCCGTTCCTATTATGTTATACACGGGTCCCTCTGGGCTACTCCGTTCTCTTTCTCCACTAAAAACAATTAGCAGCCCGATTAACAATTGCCAGGGAATGGATAGTGACATGAATGATAGCTGTTAACACAGTCAAGGAGTTCGTTGAGGTTCTTAAAGTGCAGATGGAAAATTATGACAAC